TTTAAATGTAAATTTCAGTTCCCTGATTGCACTAACGGCATTTTAAGCATCCACTCACACTGTGGCTACTCCCTGGCACTGACGGTGCGAGCTGCCCATCGCTGCAGACAGGCTGGTGGCAGGGCACTGTGCCAACCGTCTGCCGCTTGCTGCAGCCTCCCACTCTCTCACTCATTGGTTGCTTTGTTCGGTTCCTATGTCAGCCCTCAGTATTCCCTCAGAAACAGCATTTCCATTTTGTAGTTCTATCGTATCCTTGAAGTCTGAACACAAATGCGTGTCCTTCTAAATCCACTCTCATCCTGAAGCACCCTCTGGGGGGGGGGGGGGTTCCCTTTGTGTGTGGGTTTGCATTCTGCAATTACCTATTTTTCCCCATCCTGTGCACGCCACACTTCGTTCACATGGGTTTCATTTGATTTTTGCTGAAATATACTTTCCCTTGTTTATGTTTTGTTTCCTGCTGGATTCTCATTTTACTGTTAGTGAACATGGAAAGATTTCTCCAGACCTATTTTTTTTTTTTGTAAAAAAATGGTTTATTGATTTCTACAGAGAGAGGAAGGGAGAGGGGGAGAGAGAGAGAATCCTTGATGAGAAAGAAACATCCATTGGCTGCCTCCCGTACGCCCCCTATGGGGATCAGACCCGGAACTTGGGCATGTGCCCTGATCGGCGTCAAACCCGCAACCTTTTGGTGAACAGAACCACGCCCCGCCAACGGAGCTGCACCGGCCAGGGCTTTCTCCACCCGTTTGTGCTGAGTGTAATGTGGTTCAACTCTTCTTTGAAAAAATTCCCATCTTTTCTTCTTATTGTATGAACAGCACTGCAAGGCTCAGCAAACGCGGCCCATGGAACACTCGGGCCAGCCTTCTGTTTCTATCAGTGATTTACTGCAACGGCCACAAGCATTCAAGTCCCTGTTGTCACTGGCTGCTCTCTGGGCGCCATAGCAGAGCTGAATAGCGGTGACAGATCACGTGGCTTGGATGTCTAAACATTTACTCTCAGACCCTTTACAGGAAGGGTGTGCCCCCCCTGAGGTACAGAGAAGGACAAATGATCTCTTGCCTGAGGACATGGGGTGGGGTGAGAATAGGGTTGAAAGAGATTTTTCTCAGCTGACGTTTGTACGCACCCTCCATTGGCCAAACCAGACTCTGTTCTCTGTGTTGGGGTTGTTTTCACGGTCTTAGCCCTGCGTGTACTTCACACTGCTCCGGGTGTCCCCTCCACGTCCAGCGTGTACTGGCCTTCAGATCACCCTCAGCATCCGGTTAGACTTGGGCATCGGAACCTTTGCCATCTGTAAGGAGAGGCAAACCTGGCATCAGCCCTTTCTTCTCCCGTGTCACTGACAGGTGTCCGAAAGGTGGGGCTGAGCACCTGTAAGAGGAGGACTTTCCCTGGGCGTCCAGCAAGGGCTCCGGCCTCAGCCTGTCTATTTCCATGAAGACTTCTGCTCCACCAGCGGCCCTGCGGTGAGACCTTCCCAGGGTCTCGTTTTCCTCAGCTCCCTCCCTTACAGGGGGTGAAGACGGGGAGCTTTCTGGAGCCCGCCCCACGCTCCTGAGCAGAACTTGGTTTTTCGTTGGGCAGCAAACCACGGGCGGTATGTTTCTCTTTTCATTGTAACCTGTTGGTTCTGCATACCTTAGATTTTGCAGAGGTAACATTTTGAGGTCTGGCTTTCCTTTGCCACCTGACGCTGGCACATCGGTTTCGGAAAATGGTCAATGGAGGGCGTGTTTACAAAGTTTTCTGGTGTTTACTCCCCACTTGTGAAGTGAAAGACTTGCAATTGGAGCAACTAACCACAAGGGGGAGTGTTTCTTTTTACTTTCTTTGAATAAGCTAACAAGTATTCATACTTTATGCTGCTTTAAAAAAATATTAAAGACAACCCATGAATAAGACTACACAAGAAGAATGTGATATTTTGTAAATAATGTCATTCCATCACAAAACTGAACAACACTATTCTGTACACGTACAGGCTGTGTATTAGAATCCACTATACTCGATTCTCTTTGAGCCACTTGTACAGAAAAGTGCTTGAAATTCTAGGTGATCTCTTAAAACAAGTAATTCCAGTTGGGCTCATGTTGAACTCGTCTTTCAAAAAATAACCATTGCATCTGGTTTTTAATGAGAAATGCAAATACCACCAAAAAATCTGGTAAAGATATTAAGTCAAATGCCCAGGGATCTCAGACCACACAGTTCAAACCTTCTCAGACAGAGTTGTTTTCACTTTTCACAAATTGTGCTCCACAGTCATAAAGGGGTACATGTGGACTGAGGTTTGGAAATCTATGTCCTCCACTTTGTAACTCAGCACACCCTGTAGGCTGCAACTTCAGGAAGTCATGAAGCTCATGGCATTTCATGCAGAGTTCCTGACATCCCTCTAAGGTCTAAGAGAAAGCGTGGGCCGGAACATAGGCCCAGACACCCAGGACTAGATTTTATTTAATAACTGAAAATGATGGCAGAACGAGGAATTATTATCTCACATAATTGAAAAGTCCCCAAAGCCTCGTTGGCTTCCTTTTCCTGCTTGTGCTCAAGATCCTGCAAATGGCTTAGAGCAGAGCAGAACCATCTCTCTAAGGCACCTGTGTGTGTGTGTGTCTCCCCACTGAAAGCAGAATAAACTCCACACTGGCTTTCAGGACCTCCCAGGCTCTGTGTGCTCAGGTTCCCTTTAATGTCTTCAAAACCACCTCTCTGGGCTCTTTCTTTTTCTGACATCTCAGCCATGCTGGCCTCTCTTCTCTTCTTCAAATGTGCAGGGTCCTGTCCTACTGCAGAGCCAGGCTGCCTGTGTCCTGAAGGCTCTGGCCCTCGCTGCCCAGGGCCGCTCTCTCACCCCTCAGGCCTCAGGGAGGCTGGGCTGTGTTCCTTCCCTCCTGACCCTCTGGCGCCTGCACCTGCTCCTCCCAGACTCCTTTCCTCCTTACACCTGCCACACGTCATCCCTTTTCTCTGCATCTGTCTTCCTCACAGATGAGTCAAGGACCTTATGTTTATAATTCACAGATGTACCCCCAGTGCTGAAATAACAATAAACACGCAATACATATTTATAGAAAAAACAAATTACTTCTAAAAATCAAGCGACATAAATTGACCTAGAGGAAAGCAAAAGTATTTTTAAAATCACCCGCAATTCCACGACCGATATACAGTAATATCAGCACTTGGACATTCAAGTTACATATACATAATTTCTTAAAAATGCAATGATACTATACACTATCATTTTTAGATTTTATTTTATTTGAATTTAACAACAAAAAAACTGAAATGAAGCCAAAGAAATTAGGAATCATATTTTAATTCAGAAGACGTCGTTTTTGAGTTCCAAGGGGCCTGACGCTTTTTGGCCACATAACTAACCAGCATTCAACCCAGAGCTCTTGCGGGTGAAAAGCTGGAAAGGTCGGGGATCCTGCGCGGACGAAGGCTGGGGGCCAGAAGCAGGGCGGTGGACACTTGCTGCGCCGAGTGCTCTGGGCCTCTCGGGATCAGCGATCCCACCGCGCGCGGCGGGCGGGGCAAGTTCTGCAGGGGAGCCTGCAGGTGAGCGGGCGAGGAGCCCGTCCCCGCGCAGGTGGCGGTGTGCAGGCCGGCGCCCCACACCTGGCCTCTGTCTGCGCACGCGCGCTCGGCCAGCCTGTCCCAGCCGGCGACCCTGGAGCTCACGCCGCACCGCCACCCACTCGCCAGGGGAAAGTCAGTTTCCCACGGAGCTGGGAGCGGCCACCCCGCGGGAGGGGCGGGGCCAGCGGCGCGCATGCCCCGTGCGGCGGACGGGCCGTCAGGTGCGCCTGCGCCGTCAGCGGACCTGCGTCTGCGCCTCCGCGGCCGGCAGCCCGGGCCCGAGCTCCGGCGGGCGGGATGGTGCAGCGGTGCCAGGTAAGGGTGGGGACCCCTCCCCGACAGCGGGCCTCAGGCGGTCCCTCCCCGGCCCCAAGCACTCCCGACGGGCGCCTGGGCCGCTGCGGCCCCTCCCGGCCACAGGCTGTGCCCAGCCCAGGTGCCATCCCGGCGCCCGCCCCGCCGGGTCCTGAAGCCACGCTCGACCTTTGCCCCCGTTCTCAGGTGATTCGTTTTGTCGAAGACAAATTTCGTTTTAAAGATGTGCTTTCTTCCCCCTGTTTCCCTGTCTCCCTCCCTCCCTGCCCGCCTCCCCACCCCCTCCGCGCAGAGAACCTCACCTGGCCGGCTTCCTCCGCCTGCAGGTGCAGCTCACACCCCAGTTACCGAGTGTAGTTTCGGGTGCGCCGCCCATTGGTTAGACGGCCGTGTACTCTCCGAAGCGCCCACCCGGGGGCAGCGCTGGGCGCCTTCGGCTCCCTCGGCGCCTCTGCGAACCTCCGGCGGGGACCCGCGTCCTCCGCCAGGTGGCCCGCACCTGGCGGTCCCTCCGGCCCGGCTGGCCGCGCGGGGTCGCTCCAGGAATAGCCGGCGTAGCCTGTATTTCAAACTCTCGGCTGCTTGGTGATGCCAGGCCGGCTCCATTGCGTAACGTGACCCTGGGCAGCCGGGTCCGTGTGGCTGAGCCAGACTCAGAGGTCAGGTGGCAGCCGTGAAGGACATGTTTCTCGCTTTTTGGGCCATGTGTTTTATTAATTCATCTCTTCACGCAGACGTGTGCTCACTGTGTGCGTGTTTGTAAAAGGTGCTAGAACTGAGGACAGACCTAACGCCAGGGTTTCCGAGGAGCTGGAGTTAGGGATTCATGTGCGGCAACAGGACATCCCTGAAACTAAAGAGCGTCCGGACAGGAGTGCGAGGGTGCCGAAAACAAACCTTTTCCTAAATGTGAACTTGTCGATACACTGACATTTCTGTGGGCAGTTTAATTTTCTATAACTTATGAAATTTGTCTTTGAGAGGAAGCAATACACTTGGAAAACAGCTCAGCAGGAACGGTCAGAAAAGGACCGAGTTGTTATTAAAGGCATTTTTTTCTCTTTTCAGGTTGAAGTGTTGTATTTTGCAAAAAGTGCTGAAATAACAGGAATCCGTTCAGAGACCATTTCTGTGCCACAAGAAATACAAGCCCTGCAGCTGTGGAATGAGATAGAAACGCGGCATCCGGGGTAGTTAAAACCGTAGAATGCATATAATTAATAAATAATATATATATTAATATAATTAATATATTTATTCATTCCTCACTCAAGGATATTTTTTCGTTTATCATCAGATAAAGTGGGAGGGAGGGGGAGAGAGACAGAGAGAAACATCGATGTGATAGAGCCACATGGACTGGTTGCCTCCCGCAAGACCCAACCAGGGCTAAGCCTGAACCACAACCAGAATCGAACCCTGGATGCATTGTCTGGGGGCCGACGCTTTAACTGCTGAGCCAAACTGGCCAGGGCAGACTGTTTACTATTTTAAAGATTGTAAATGAATAGATAACAAAAGTTAAAAAGTTCGTTTTGATGTCCTTAATGTCAAAAAGGGTCATTAGTTCTATTTTTCTGGAACCATACTGAAAATGTCAGTTCTAGCATTTAAAACTGCACAATCCCTTAAGAAGAGTTGAAGACAGTGAAAACCACAGTGAGCTGGGGTACTCCCAAAGGGACACGATTATATTTGCTTTTGTAATTTGCAAAATATTGAAAATGTAGATTTTGCATTTTTATAACGTTAAGTGAAATTGTTACAAATTCTGTTAAAAATGTGTGCTTTAAGCGTGTACGTCCTGCACTTCTTTAGAGAAATCGAAATAGAAATTTCTAAGATTAAAAGGAAAATGAGAGATAACAAACCCTGGCAGCTGCTGGATTTGCGGTCTGCAATAGCTGGGTTTGTTCTGTAACTGAAAACAAGTAATTTCCCTGCTACTGTTCCTCCCTCAAGTTCTTTTTGGGACAGACTGTAAAAGTGTCTTATCGGAAGGTGGTCACGAATACGAGGGGTGTCACTCAAGTCCACATAGATGTTCAACGTGCAAAAGATACCCCACAATGAATGTTCAAAAGGAAAAGTACTCATTTGAAAATTTTATATCGTTTACCTTGTTCTTAAAGTGCCCTGACACATGGTGGGGCCTCTGCTGGGAGACACCTGGTCTTGTGGGGAACGTCCAAGGTATACTTAGTATACTTAATATATTCGTATACCTAGAAGCCTCCTGGGATTAGGATATGCCTTTTTTTTTTTTTGCTTTTTTGACCTGGTCTGAATGTTGTCTTTAGTAATTTTCCCTTCCTCCTCCTCCTCCTCTTCCTTCTTCCTCTTCCTCCTCTTCCTCCTTTTGGTTGGTTTGTTTATTTCTCCAAGACATGCAACATCTAATAAAGAGTTGTCAGCAGTTTGCTGAGTTCTTGGTGGTGAGTAAGTATGTTCTGCAGTGAATGTGTTCTTTCTCTGCAGAACGTCACTTTGATTAGTAACTCTGCAGGAGATACAATATCTATGTGATATTTTTCATCGCAGCTAAAGACATCTGAGGTCGAACACAGATTGATTCTTCTCATTATGCTTGTTTGCCTCCAGATTGGCCGATGTCCGAAACCAGGTGATACTGGCTGTTCGTCAGGAGTATGTCGAGCTTGGAGATCAGCTCCTCCTGCTGCAGTCAGGAGACGAAGTTGCCATCATCCCCCCCATCAGTGGAGGCTAGTGCTGGGGAGCCCCTTGAGTATGGGAGGTATGTTTTTCTTAACCAGCCTTGTGGAGAAGCATCATACAGGTGATCCTTTGTATGCCGTTTGCTTTGACTGGACACTCTTCGTGAGTCTGTCCGCACAAGCTCTTTGTTACAGCAGCAACTCTTTATCGGTGCAGAGAGACTTATGAATGCCTGCCTGCCATCCCAGCGTCAATTCTCTCGTAAGCGGTTTAATCTAATGTCACCTGGATGTGTTCAGCCTGTTCACTTAATGCGGTTTTCTTGACATCTTACTGTGTGTCAGGCACAGTGTTGGGCCCTGGAGCATTAATCTCTCTATTTTGCAGGAGGAAAAGCCGAAATCCAGAGAAGTTACAGAACTAGCCTATGATCACGTAACTAATAAATGGCAGAACCTACCTTAGAACTCAGATTATTGGAGACTCTGTACTTTTTCACAAATGTGCTTATCAGTGCTCGATAAGAGCTCTCCTGGGCACAGAGAAATTACACAGCCAGAGAAGCAGGTCACTGTGCCTACAGAGGAAGCTTATCATTTTCCAGGTGCACGCATAGCTTTATTATTACAGCTGTGTTGCGGTGGCTCTAGGATCCCTACCACATCTCTCCGTCTTTCCAAACGACACAGACCATATGTGAGTGGGATGATGGATGAGAACATTTCTCAGTATCATCCAGACAGACAGACAGAATGAGGCTTACATCATTGTCAACTGAAGAATAAGTAACGTACAAGTTAACAATCATTTCCAATGAAAAGCTTCGGTAAGTTAGGAATGAAAGAAAACTTTCTCAGCTTCATAGGGTTTTTCTCCAGAATCAGGAGTAAATATACTCGATGGTAAAACCTTGGTTGTTAAATAAAGGAACAGCCAAGGATGCCTGGTTACGTTTTCCGCCCACTTTGCCTACGCTCTTCTGGAGGGCCGTGCCCCCAAAGTGAAGAGGGAGTATTGCCCACCATGCCCATGAAGCTGGACTCTTTCCTAGTCCTACTATATAGAAATAACAGAAGAACTCCTTGTCAGACATGGGTCTCTATTTCATTTGGAAACTATGGTCATCTTATCACCTCCATGATTTTAGAAAAATGCTATTTTTTGGAGCTTGGAATTTGTTCAGGAAATGATGGGCTACCGCTAACGTCAGGGGTGTGTGTGAGGACTCGAGCCGTTCCTTGGAAAGGTCTGGGAGGTGACCAACAGCATGGTGTGTTACCCGAGTGTGTGGGACAGGGTTTGAAGCCTGTTTGAGAGTCTGTGTCCTTATAGAATCCAGTGTGGCAGCTGGGTGTGGGGGAAGTGCACAGACTATGATTGGGTTACCTGCGTCTTTGTGCGAGAAGGGTGGGCGGGCTCAGGTGGCATGTCCAGGTTGACACTTCCTGGAACCAGAGGTATAGAAGTGATGCCTCGTTTCCTCTCAGGAGCTGGAGGGGACAGGGTTTAGTAAGGTTTCCTGGTTGGAGTCACCTTGAGTGAGTCCTTGACTCCTCTGAGTCGTCTTTCTCATCTTTTATGTGATGAGACCCCACAGGATTTATGCTTTTATTCAGACTCCTCGTGGCCTGCAAGTTTCAACCTGCCTGGCCAGCCTCAACCCATCCATTCTCCCCCTTGCTCCCTGGACTTTGACCACCCCGCCAAGTTTCTGGGGCAGGTGGTCCGCTCTTTCTTGTCCCAGATCTTTGCATTTTCTATTCCCTCCGTCTCTGCCTGGGGGCCTGTCCCCTGCTTCCTTATAGGGCTGCCTTACCAGGTTTCAGCTCTAAATATTGCCTCTTGAGAGGGGCCCCCCATAACCCTCTTATCTTAAATACCCCTGCCAGCCCCCGTGCTGTCTGAGCCTGTTTGTTTCTGTAGGTCATCCCTAACTGTAGTTCTGTCGCCTGCTTTCTCTCGTTCCGGAAGAAGCACCTGAGTGTAGAACCAGGACTTCTGTCCCCTGGTCTATGTCTGGCGTGCGGGTTGGTCCCGCAGGGGACACGTCCTGGATGCTCAGGGAGTGACAGGGGAAATGCACCGGCAGAGGCCCGTGCAGCCTCGTCAGCTCGCCGGGGTTGTGCCCCTGGGAAGTGAGCCCGGCGCCTGTGCGACACCGTTTCTGCCCCCTGTGCCTTTTTGGACAAAGGGAAAAGCAGTTGTGGGTGGGGTTCGGTGACATAGTACTTAGGGGGAACCATGTGAACCAGACTGTGGTGGGAGATCGACTGTGGTGGGAGAAAACGGGCTTGTGAGAGAGATTACGTTTTAAGTGATCACGTAATGGTCCGTTCCTTTTGATGTCATACTCGATTCATTGGGGATATTTATCAATAATATTGGTGGGTTTTTTTTATTTTAACACTTGCTTTTTTTTTTTTCTTTATTGATTTTAGAGAGAGAAGGGAGAGGGAGAGAGAGGTGGAAACATCGATGAGAAAGAACATCGATTGGCTGCCTCCCACATGCCCCCCACGGGTGATTTGGTTCACACCTGGGCATGTGCCCTGACAGGGAATCGAACCAGTGACCTCTTGTGCGTGGGTCGACACCCAACCACTGAGCCACAGCAGCTGGGCAAACACTTGCTCATTTTTATCATCCCGATCAAATGATGCCTCCTAACCATATCTGATGTAGAAGAAACATGAATGAAGCACAGCCTGGTAGGCTGGGTGGTTTGCCTCTAGTGCCACTGTTACGGTGTATCCATATCTCCTTTCTAGGAAAGGTGTGAACGAAGGGGACGAGAAATCTAAGGACGTAATAAAGTTCACGGCTGAGAAGCTGTCGGTCGAGGAGGTCTCACAGTTGGTGACTTCCCCCCTCTGTGGTGCGGTGTCCCTGTTTGTAGGTGAGTTGTCTGTTCCCAGCTCCCACGGATGGCACAGGGCGGTGGGAACTGCACGCCTCACCGCGCAGTGTGGACAGGACGTCAGGATGCTGAGGGAGCCAGGATGACCCACGGCGGTGGGCAACCACCGCCAGCTCTCGAGTTGTCTTAGTGATGTCCCAACGGCCGGGGAGAAGGTGTAGCGGCAGCAGGGTAAAGGTCAGCAGGGTAAAGGTCAGCAGCAGAGAGAACTCGGTCTTTTCCAAATGTCCAGGGGAAAATGGTGATGGTGATAATCCGGGAACATAGTGTCTCCCTCCCGAGCGCCGGAGGCTGTCGGAGAGGAAGGCTGTCCTGGCGTGTCGCCGAAGATGGCCAGGCGTTTCCGTGCGCCGGTCTCCTCAGCGCGTCTGCTGTTCTCACCTCTGTGACAATTACCCTTTGCTTCTCCTCGTTTTCATTTTAGAATATTGTAATTGTTAGACAGCGAGTATGGTACTTGTCTGTTCAATAGTAGCCGGTTTTCGCCCTGGCCGCTGCAGCTCGGGCGGTGGGCATCTGGTGCCCGAAGGTCGTCAGTTCAGTTCCCGGCTGGGGCTGGTGCCTGGGTTGCTGGGGGTCGTGCAGGAGGCAGCCCACTGACGTTTCTCTCTTTCTCCCTTTCCATTTCTCTCTGAAAAAATCAGTATTTCAAAAAATAATAACCCCTTTTGATTAAGGTGCAATTTCTAGTATAAGGAGAAACCTTATTTTAATTGCTTTTTTTTTTTTCTTTAGGGACCACAAGAAATAACTTTGAAGGGAAAAAAGTCGTCAGCTTAGAATACGAAGCATACGTGCCGATGGCTGAAAACGAAGTCAGGAGGATTTGTAGTGACATGAGGCAGAAGTGGCCAGTCAGGCACATCGCCGTGTTCCATAGACTGGGGTACGACTCCCCCGCCGGGCACAGCGCACCGCGGCTGCTTTCTGCCTGGGTGCTCCTGGGCTGCGGTTCCCTAGGGAGGCTGTGCTGGGCGCAGAAGTTTGTGCCTGACTCTGGTGGACAGTGGGGGACCTCTCCCGCGCCTTCAAGGCTGCTTGATCCGCCGTGACGTTTGGAGAGTGCCTGACGCTGTGAGGGACCCCGGTGGGCCAGACCCTTGGCCCCGAGCCGCATGGCTGGCGTCCTTGAGCCCTTGGAGAATTAGCCTGCGGTCTAGACGCTGTCTGTGTGACGGTCTGCTAAGGAGAAAGGTTTTTTTAACGTACATGCTTTTGAAGTTCATTCAATTGGTTCGCCTTTTTGTACCCCTAAGCGTGGAGTTCCAGGCTTTGAAAACAACCCAGCCTTGGAGACTCTATCGATCACATTCTATTCGTTATTATTTTGTTAGTAATGACCATAATTTTCTTAAGAATTACTGTTATCAATTCTATTACTCGGTATTTATTGCTATATAATACTTTAAAGTGTCTGTTACCTTCACCATGTGGTAACTGTTCACCTAGCACTGCCTGGCGTGTGCCGTGTTGGTCTGAATCCGAGACCTGTGCATCAGTGAAGGTGCCTTTGTCCTCGGTGCCCGTCAAGCAGGGTGGGTGGGTGGGTCGATGCTGACAGATCAGCCGCCACCTCGGCGTCCCCTCCGCTGAGCGCCCCTGGGATGACTTTTCTGTGCCTGACGGAGCGGGTACCTGGGCGGGACAGGTGTCTGTGCACGTCCGCGTGCTCCTCGGGGTGGTTTCCATGTGGGGCAGACCTTTCACTCCGGATTTAGAGAAGGCAGTAACTTCCCTTCGTTCTGTTGAAGCCTGGTGCCCGTGTCCGAAGCCAGCATTGTCATCGCCGTGTCCTCGGCCCACAGAGCCGCGTCCCTCGAAGCCGTGAGCTACGCCATCGACGCGCTGAAAGCCAAGGTGCCCATATGGAAGAAGGTGAGCGGAGGGACATCCCATGTCAGCCTTGGACGTGACATGTCTCAGGAATGTTGTAAGGATGGGACATGGGCACCTGCGAGTTCGGACTCATGGGTCTTCCCTGACGTTATAAATCATGTTTTCTTTATCCGGGAGACTGGGCGTTTCCCAGGGTTTGTTAAGCATGAAAAATATGTGCCCTCAAAATGCCTGGCACCCGTCGGCCTCAACAAGTGTGACTCTCGGAGGTCCTCGTCCGGACGGGGCCCAGGGTGAGAACTCCCTCGACGAGAGGGTCTCCCCTGGGGGGGGTGGGCACAGAGCGTGGCCGGCGCGGCAGCTGCCGAACCAGGGATTCTTCAAGGCGCAAGAGCCTCCGGCCTCCTCCTCTGGGAACAGGAGAGGGCAGGGTGTGGCCCTTGGAGAGGCACATGGTGAGCGAGCTTGGAAACGAAACAGGAAGTTCTGCCGTGTTTGCCGTCGGTACGTCCAGCCCGTGAACAGGAGCAGCCAGCTCTCTGGTCAAGCAGAGCATCCTGAAGGAGCTGCTCCCGGACCTCTGCCTGGCGCAGTGCCACCCACAGTGGGCGGCTCTGTGCCCGCAGCGTCCAGTTGCCCACTGCCCCGAAGCAGGGCACAGCGCGGGTGGGCACTGCGCGGTGGACCCGAGGGCCAGAGCCAGGGCCAGCGGGCAGGGATGGGCCGGCCGCCTCGGGCCCAGGGCCTGTGCGGTGAGTGGCCCTGTCTTCGGCATGACTGAAGGCCTTGCTGTGAGGGGCATCTGGGGGCTGGAGGCCGTGATATGTGAGTGGAAACCGTCTCGGTGCAGCTCAGACGTGTGAACTGGGTGTGACCAGGCCACCACCTGTTCCGTAGACCGGGGGGAAGGGCCTGGAGTGCACCCCACAGTGAGTGGCGAGCCTGGGGCAGGGGGACAGGGACGGCCAGCCGACAGAGGAGAGGGCAGGCCCGCAGAAGGCAGTGGCGGCGGGGGTGCAGGTGTTCAGAGAACATTGAATTGGGACCCTGTTCCTACAGGGGAAGAGCTGACTAGAGAGTGAGAAAGTGACATGTCCTCACCCCCTGCCCTCCAGAGACAGGACGTGCTGGTCTGGTCCCGCGGCCTGTGCTCGGGGTCACCGGTGACACAGCGACAGGCAGCAGGGAGGTGGGCACCCGCTCCAGGGCGGGGACCCAGCCTGCGCCCCGCCGTGGCCTGTTTCGGCGGATGGAAGTCGCCCCTCCGCCTCTGGAGCAGACGTTTAGGAGGTGGAGGCCGTGCGTGTGTTTGGAAAGAAGAAAGTGTTTAAAACTAAAGACCTCCATCCTCCCTGCATGACCTGCCCAGGTGTCTCCGGCCCTGGTCCCAGGTGGACTTCGTTTGTCCTGCTCGTGGTCGCCCCTGGTCTTGTTAGGGCGTCCTGTCTGGTTTCTCCTGCTGAGTGGGAGTCCGTGCGTGCAGGGGGCGGGTTCGTTCATTTCTCTGCTGTTAGTGCCGCATGTAAGTGTTCACAGGGGTTTCAGAGAGAGGAGGGGGGAGAGAGAGATGGAAACATCGATGAGAGAGAACATCGACTGGCCGCCTCCTGCACGTCCCCCGCTGGGGATCCGGTCCACAACCTGGGCATGTGTCCTGACCGGGAATCGAACCCACGACCTCTTGGTGCAGGGTCATCGCTCAACCACTGAGCCACACTGGTCGGGCTGGTCACTAGATTGTTAAAAGAGGATCAGATTTTCCCTGGCTGGTTTGGCTCAGCAGTTAGAGCGTTGGCCTGTGGACTAAAGAGTCACGGGTTTGACTTTGGTCAAGGGCATGTACCTTGGTTGTGGTTCAGTCTGTATCCCTGGTTGAGGTTGTGTGGGAGGCAACCAATTGATGTGTCTCTCTCACATCGTTGTTTCTCTCTCTCTCTCTCCCCCTCCCCACCCCTTACTCTATCTGAAGATAAATGGGGAAAAAAAGAGCAGATTTGTATAATTGTGGTATTTATTTGCCTCCCTTGTTCAAATGCTTGGTTTTGAATACCTGCTATGGTTCTGTTTGTAGGAAATGTATGAAGAACCATCATCATCATCTTGGAAAAGAAACAAAGAGTGCTTTTGGGCCACAGCCAGTGATTAAACCACTCGTTCTTCGAGTTCTAAAGTTGAAATTTGGTCGGCTTCTCCGGGATCACATTTGGAGTTTTCTCCTCTGGAAATTAAGATTGTTTAGGCTGAGGTCTCACACTGGACCTGGAAATAGAGGAGATGTTTGGGGAGAAAGGGAAGAGTAATTTAAATGTGAGGAAAGATGTCAGTGATAGACGGATCATTCCACAACTCAGTTCAGGTTGTGACTGGACTCACTGAGGGCCGCCCTGGTCACTGACTGTCCCTCAGAACCCAGTCCGTCCCCCACCGCCACATCCCGTGATATCACTGTTTTCAGGGGCCGATGGGAGAACTGGAGGGTGTACAAAGTCCTCAGACAGTCTTGATCTATTTTTAGAATTTATATATTTTAAAAAATAAGTCAAATAAACTCGTGATTAAAAATGTTTAAAAGCAGTTTTTTTCTGTTTTTTAAAATTCATGGATAATATGTAACACGTGTTTCATACGATGGAGATTTCCAGTGTTTCAGACTCTGTCATCTCCGTCACTTACTGTGTGTTGTCAGTGATGCACGTTGTAGCCGTACACAAACCAGCACGAGAGGCTGTAAACCAAGCAGATGAGCAGCAAGGTTCGTTCCGCATTGGTGGATATTTAGAAGGTGACCCATCGCCCGATAAGAAGGAAAAGTGTGTGGTTCTTTCTTTATGAAAGTGTGTCCAGGTAGTCTTTTTAGCTGCTTGTGCATCGTCATCGTTAGTGAGGTCCTGAATGAACAACTTTTCTGCAAGGTCTTTGTACGAAACAAAGGTCCGGTTCTGACGGTCACCTGGTACCGCCTTCGGGTCAGCGTGTAAGCTCCCTCTGGTCTCAGAGCAACACCATTCTGACATAATTACCGGCAGCTGACACCCCAAAGTTCGTATTATGCATATTGGGAACAAAGACTTCTTTCAGACACTTAGATTGATTTTATTTTTGGTAGTATTATTTGTGACATCTAGTGAAACTTTTTTACAGAAGGAATTTATTTTTCCAACCAACACTGCATGTCTTTTTGGTGCTGGGCACCCACCGGGCGGTCCTTGTCCACCAATGTCACACACCGTGGGGGAGATTCTGCATCCTGTCGTTGCCTGGGACCTACGGGTGAGCCGCTGTCACAGGAACACGCTGGCACACGGGGCTTTTCCCTCGCCCGTCCAGAGAGCAGGCTGGGAGGCAGGCGCACCCTCACTACCACCCTCCGGGGTGCGAGCTGCCTGCCTCCTTCCCCCAAATGCTGGCCTGTCCCTTCCAAGAACGGGACGTTCCTTCCGCGAGGGCGGAGTTCCTGGCCCACTGCACACGTACCTGGACTGTGTACCTTAATTGTAAATATGTTTATTATTTCATCATGTTAACATCAGGTCTATGTGGGTTTCAGGGTTTTTCTACTCAAATATTTCTTCAGACAATCTATGTGATGATAACTGTCTTTTTCGAAAAACAAAACACCCTTTGAACGTGTTTGTAAACCGACGTGGAGCAGGCTGTGTCCTGAGCCTGGACAGACACTGGGCGTCTCCGTCCGGTGCCGAGGGGCCGCCCGGGCCGTGCTGACAGCTCTCCGTGCCCTGCAGCGCTGAGTGGGGCTCCGTGGACCCCGCTGTCCGAGGAGGGCCGGGGTGCATGGGCGGTTGAGCTATTCAGGGACCCCAGTCGCTGACTCCGCCCTTCTGCCTGTAACCTGGCTGCTCGGGTCCTTGGAAAAGTAACTTTGAAAACGTGGCCTGCCAGGTGTCCGAGCCCGGGGGACAGCAGGGAGGTGCGCCCGGGAGGCAGGACGTCCGAGCTGCCTGTGCTCAGTCGGCAGGAGTGGCGAGAGCTTTGCTCTTCGGCAGGACCAGCAGGTGCTCTGCGAGGGAAGTACTTTCTGCCTTCGCGGCGTCTTGGCCCTGGAGACACGGTGCTGAGGTGGATGTTTTCAGGAAGTTGTGAGAAGCGGTGGTTCGGCAGCCGGTGGTTTGAGTGTCGGTCTCAGGTCCCTGAACGAAGCTACCTGAGAATTAGAAATGGATTCCTGCGCATCTTCTGAATTCATCCACTTCTCCTCGATCCACTGTGACCTCTGCTGTCCAGGCCACCACTCTGCTGCTCCGGCTGTCACTGGGGCTGCTGGCCCTGTCCCTGGTGCTGTCCCCCACGTAGGTCATTTTGTCATCCTAGGAACCGAGGACACAGACCTCACCACGGCCGCCAGCCCACAGGATGGCGCTCCTGCCCGCCTCTCTCGCCTCCTCCCTCCTCAGCTCCCAGTTGGTCTGCCTTAGGGCCTCTACCTGTCCTTCCTGTGGAATGCTCCTCCCCTCCGTGTCCCTGTGGGCTTCCTCACTTCACGTCAGTCCCTGATTGAATGTCACCCCCTCGTCCTCGTCCCTGGAATCCCGTCCCCTTACACCGCTTTCTGTTTTGTTGTGGCACTTCCTGCCCCCCGGTGTGTGACCCCTGTTAGTTCGTCTCCATCACTAGACTGTGAACCCCCTCAGGCCAGGACTTCTGTCTCTGTCACCAGTGTCTAGCCCACACATGCACCAGATGTGCTGTTGGTGGTCTGTGCCCCAGGCAACATGCCTGAGACATGTGGTGGATGCGTAGCCGTCTGCAGAGGTGCAGCTGTGTCTGGCTGAGTGAGGGGTTAGGGGCAGCTTCTCTCCTGCACCCCGCCCGCTCCCATGCAGGGGCGCCTGCCAGTTACTGAGCACCGAGTACGTTACAGCCCCTCCTCAGGCACTCGGGCTGTTTCCGTATCTTTTTTTTTTTATCCTCACCCGAGGACATTTTTCCATTTTTTGTTCAGATAGAGTAGGAGGGAGAGAGAGAGAGAAACTTCAGCGTGAAAGGGACACATCAAGTGGTTGCCACCTGCACAACCCAGCCAGGGCCAGGGACAGACTGCAACTGAGGTACGTGCCCTTAGCGGGAACCAAACCTGGGTCTCTCTGGACCACAGGCCGACGCTCTAACCACTGAGCCAAACTGGCCAGGGCTGTGTCCATGTCTTGGCCATTGTAAACAACGCTGCAATGAACCTAGGGGTGCAGATAGCTGTTCGATTTAGTGTTTTTATTTTCAGTGGATAAATACCCAGAAGTGGAATTGCTGGTTCATATGGTAGTTTTATTTTTGATTTTTTTAGGACCATCCATGCCACTTTCCCCGGTGGCTGCACCGGTCTGCACTCCAGCAGCAGTGCACGAGGGCTCCCTAGTTCCACATCCTCGCCAGCATTTGTCTGATGGCGGCCATTCCGGCAGGTGTGGGGAGCTACCTTGTATTTTAATTTGCATCTCTCTGATGATTAGTGACATTGAGCATCTTTTCCTGTGTCTACCGGCCATTGGTAGATTCTCTTTGGAAATGTATTCAAGTCCTCTGCCCATTTTTTCCCCCTCTTTTGATTTTAGAGAGAGGAAAGGAGAAGGAGAGAGAGAAACATCGATGAGAAAGAACACGGATTAGCCACCTCCTGCATGCCCCCCGCTGGGGATCCGGCCCACAGCCTGGGCACGTGTCCTGACCAGGAATCCAACAGGCGACCTCTTGGTGCCTGGGTCGAGCTCGACCACCGAGCCACACCGGCCAGACACCTCTGCCCATTTTTAAATCAGGTTTTGTTTTTTATTTTAAGATGTATATGTTCTTTATGTATTTTGGATATTAATCTCTTATCAGCTATATGATTTTATTTAAGTAAGTCAGAGAAAGACAAATACAGTATGATTTCCCTTATATGTGGAATCTAAACAACAGACTCATAGATACAGGACACAAACAGGTGGTTACCAGAGTGGAGAGGGGTTGGGGGTGGGTGAAACAGGTGAAGGGATTGAGATGTGCCGATTTCCAGGTAATGTCACCGGGATGTGAAGTACAGCACAGGGAACATAATCAATAACAGTGTAATACCCCAGTGTGGCCACAGGTGGTACCCAGACTTAGGCAGCCCATGACTCGTGTGATGTAGTTAGGTAGTTCCCCCAGCAGGGGGCAGTGGAGCCTGGGCTATAGTCAGAGCGACTTGAGTTTTAGATTTTATTTGATTACTTTTATTTTGCACAGAACCCAGAAGCGTAATTTGGTTAGTAGCCATTTTTTTCTAAAGTTAGGTTGGAGTGGGCCTTCGATAAAAATTAGTCCCAGATTTTGGATTAGATGATTTTTCATCTTTAATTGGTATCTTAGTTTAGAATATTAAAGGGTTATAGTCGAATGAGGGCATTTTTAAAGACGCCGCTTGTTGCTTTAAGAGGTGATGTGGAATAAGTAAACGGAGTTAATTTTTAAGCAATGGATTAGGTGGAATTAGGCTCCAGGTGGGACAGAGTGGTGGCCTTAAGGCTGGTCACCCTCAGCCTCCTCCCCGGCTCCGTGACAGATCAAACAGAAGCTCGTGTTCTTTCCGTCCAGAGCGGTGTGAATGCACGGCACACGGCACGCTTCCTAGCTGCCCTCTGACTCGGTTTACCAGGTGGACGTGGGAAGGTGTCACCTGACATGGAGCGTTTGTGCATCGGCGTAACTGGCAGCTCGGACCACCCAGCCCTGGCACAAATGTGCCATCTGTGCGGTGGTGGCCACTCTGTGACCCTGAGGTGCCTCCTGTTTTGCTGGAAATTCCAGCACATTAATTTCTGCATATTTGTTTATTTATTGTTAATTCTTACTGGAGGATATGTTTCCACTGAATTTTAGATAGAGCGGGAGGGAGGGAGGGAGGAAAAGAGAGAGAAGCATTGATGTGAGAGAGAGACATTGACTGGTTGTCTCCTGCACGACCCCAGCTGGGGCCAGGGATGGACCTTCAACCCAGGTATGTGCCCTTGACCCGGAATTGCACCCATGACCCTCCGGTCCTCAGGGTGATGCTCTAACCACTGAGCCAAACCGGCCAGGGCCATGTCAGTCTATTTAAAGCTTAAAAACAAAAACATCAAAACCCTCTTGCTTGCTACAAGATTACAAGCGGCGGCTGTGCGGTGGCCGTGTCCTCAGGTTGCGGCAGCCGGCCGATGCCCTCCCTGGGTTATCCCCACACGCGTTTGACTTCAGGGGACAAGCGGTGCTTCTCAGACACTGACGCCCTGGGAGTTGTCAGGGTCTTGTTCAACTCCGATTCGATAGTCCGGGTGGTTCCGGGATCTGCACCTGGTCACAGGCGGTCCCCCTGCGGACCACCGCGAGGCGCCAAGCTCGGCCCCTGGGCCCTCACCTGTGAAGACAGGTTAAGATCCCTGCAGACACGGGTGCTCCCTGCCGGAAGTGGGAGATGTCAGAGCAGAGTCCCCCCCCTTTGTGGAGTCAGGGACATGCGCCCGAGCACCTGATTGTGCGAGGTAGGGAGCAAGACACATGAGCCGTAAAGTTCAAACTCCCACGCGAATGGCGGTGTTCTGAAAACGCTTTTAATGATATCCAACAATGTGGTGTGGAAGGAGTGGTCTCCAGTTCCATGAGACTTTTCTGTCCGGTTCTCACACTTGAACTGGAGAGGACTCTCACCTCGTTAATGAGCCCTCATGAATGGTTTTTGTTTCTCAGAAATCAGGGGAATTCTGCAACTTTATGTACAAACACGCAGACATTCACTTTCACATATTTGGCCGAGAGAAAAAGACAAAAACTAGTTAATCAAAAACAATATACTTATTACATCTTAACAAAGATATACATTATGTATCAAAGAAAGTATCCAAGACAATTTGTCTTTAAAAAATACAATTCAAATATAGTGGCGCAATATATACACTTATATTTTGACTTTATCTGCCAAAATACATCAGATACATATGAAACCATTTTTTAATATTTACACAATGGCTACATTTTCATTTTCTAAGGTTCAAAGTAGTTTATGTTCGTATTTATTTCAAATTTTACCCCGTCTTTATCTTTACTCCAGATGTTCAGTTTTTCAAAATGGGTATATGTTGCTGTACACGAAGGGCCTAGTCCTAAAATAGTGTGTGTACTAGTATTTTCTGTGTGCAAGTTGAAATGTTAAAGACGGACCAGGGAGTTCAGTTTGAGGGGACCTGCTTTCTGTGGAATGATGTCCTAATTGTTTAGCTTTTCCTACGTTAACTTGTAGCTATCTATCTGAATAGATAAGCACACTAGAAAATGATACCTTTTGTAATAATTTTTAGTAGAGTCACCGGCGCGATTACAGTACACTGGCTTGTTTCCTTTACTCTTATCTGGGAATGGGTAACTTGCACTGTGTCGTGGAAGTCAGCCTGCGCATCGGAAGTCCCCGCGTGGCTGCTGAAACGCCCAGTTTCGAGTCTCCCCAGCTCCTTCACAGACGGCTCCCTGGTGACAGTCCCGGCCAGGTGGAGGCGGCAGCGTGGTGTCTGTCGCCCTGCGGATCTCTGTGGCCCATGTATGAATCGGAAACTGGAAAATGGCACCTTCTAAGCCCACGCACTACTTTCAGAACAAAACATGACTGCCCAGGAAGGCAGAACTTCTGAAATAATGCTTTGTTGTGTTTTCTTTGGCGAATACCCACCTTTGCTGAAAAGTGCATAAGCAACGCCCCTCTGTTGGTAGAGACAGCCTCTGCTTCTGATCCTCATCTGACAACGGAAGCTGCCTGTTTAGGCCGCATGGTGCTGCTGTGCAGTGGTTCTCAATCAGGGTGCCTTGCCGCCCAGGAGACAGGCCACGCTGGAGACGGTTTTCTATCGTCACCACTAGGGGGCGAGGGTGCTCCCAGCATCGGGTGGGGGAGGTCAGGGATGCTGCTGCTAAGGGTCCTGCCAGGCACAGGGCAGCCCCCAACAGGAAAGAATCACTTGCGCCCAGATATCAGCAGTGCCGAGGCTGAGAAACCCAGTCTGTGTGATGCCGGGGGTGTGTGTGATGATGGCTTCAGAGACAGGCTCAGTTACTCAGTGTGCAGGAAGCGACTAGTCCGTGGAGGGAGTTCCGGGAAGACAGCCGTCCTCGGTCCTGCCCCAGCCCCCAGCCCCCAGCCCGCCGAGTGGGTGAGCTCGGTCTGGTGCTGAAGGAGGGCGAGGCAGGGCAAAACCATTCCTCAAAGCACAGCGAAGAACTAGTTTCCGTGTACATGCAGCACTTACATGGTTTATTAAATACTCTCTATCAGCGTAATGACCGGTTTCTCCTCCACACTCTTTTTTAATACGAATTTTGCTGGAATGAAATCGAGGTTTAATCCAAACTGCTGTTATAAGGATTGGGCTCTGGACGTCCAACTGGAGAATACCATGCTGTTTTTGCTATAAGCCCTGACATTTAATGGCTGTTTTTCCCCCTTTATTTTTTTATTTTTTTATTTTGTCAGATACAAAATAAATCATAGCGCTGTGTGCTCAGCTCTGAGCCAGGCAGGGGCCCAGGGCCAGACTCATCCAGGCAAATGAATACCTGTCATCCTCTGACCTCTTTTTAAAGTCGGATTCCTGGCGGGCTGTCGTCTGTGTTATAGGAAACCCAGATCCTAGACGTTTCAAGCTAAGAGTGTCACCGCTGAGCTCCAAGCCCGTCTCCCCGTCATTTCGCGATGAGGACACTGACGTGGACAGAGGCGGAGTGACTTGTCGGCAGCTTTAGGTCAGCCGTGAGCCGCATCGGCAGACTGCTGTGCCCGTGCCCTGTCCCCCTGCGCCACCCCTCGAGGTTGTGTGGCTCAGAAGCAGAGACGAAAGCGCAGAAGGAGACATTTCCAGCATAGCACCCGGGTGCTTGTTACAATAGGGACGATGGGGCCTCATCCCCATCTGACCCGATGGGACCTGAGAATCTAGCTTGTGAGCAAACCTGCCAAGTGAGGCTCACTCTGCGCACGTAGGTCCTCTGGAGACTAATAAGCACAGAGGCTACTCCCACCCATTTGGTGACGTCCAGTCTCTGTACCTTCTTGCAAATTCCTGAGACAATGCCTGTCTTTGCCTTGTCTACACTGCGTGAAGTCCCAACAATTAAAAATCCACTCGGGTGTGTTGTTCCTACTTGTGTAGCCGTCCACGAAAACCGCTCCCCGACGTTCACACGGGTGTGCGCTGAGCGCCGGCTTCTCCCCCTCGCCCGGTTGCAGAGCAGCTGAGACAGGTGTTTGGACACAGGGGTCAAGGAGTGGGTGACTGCGGGCCACTGCGGGAGAGGCAGGCTGCAGGGGACTTCTAGAAGACGGGGACTCCAGGGCGCAGGGCGGTGTTTCAGGGTGGACCGTGGAAAGATGCCAAAGACGTTATTCATCTTTTGCAAAGTCCCTGCCAGCCAGCCAGGGCAGCCAGCTGTGAGCTCTCCCAGAGACAGGAAACTTCCTCCTTCTTCCTCCAACACAGTCGGATCCTCCTACAGGCGGGGTTGTACCGGAAACGGTGTCACAGGTTTTGGTGCTGCGGTCCCTGAACTCCCTCTGCCCATGTCAATGGAGACGTCCTGGCAGGGGACATGCTCCAGCTGCCCAGGAGGGTTCATCAGTGCGTCGTAGGGAGACGGGGCGGGGGCGGGGGGCAGCGTGGCGGTGACCACACGTTTTACTGCCTCTGTAAACAGTTGTTGCAGAACACTGTCCACTTCGGATGAGCGTGAGGACCTGTGTTTTCCCCCAACGGGAGTGTCCAAGCCAGTTCCCTACCCATCCCAACACTCCCACTTTGTGGCTGATTAAAACAACCGATCATCTCACACAATTGAGTTTCCCCCCAAAAATCTAAGAAAGGTTATGTTTTTGTTTAGAACACGGCATGTCTGTAAGCATTTCCCCTTTCTGACACAGTACGTAGGATAACGTAAATTCTGGACCAGCCAGCATAGGGACCCTTTTCCATATAAAATAAGTCTTGGACCCTTCATCTTCCCACCCCCCACCCCCCAATTTCTTTTTCCCAAACTGACCTGCGGTTTTCTTGAAATAAAACATTAGGCTAGTTTACCCATTACATTGCAAAGCACAGACCTAACCAACGTGCACGCCAATGGCAAACGCTGGGGGGCGGCCTGCGGCCACCACAGGATCAGGCTGGCGCTCAGCTGCTCAGTTCTGTGGTGTCGTCAACCTCATCTGGGTTTTTGGTCATTTTTTCATATTTTCTTTTGAAGAAGCCAAGCTGTAGGATGAAGATGTAAAAATGTTACCGCCTATGGCTCATTTTGTATGGGCCCTTAGACCCTCTTCACTAACGACCACGTCCCCGAAAGCACCCGGGGAGTCACCAGGGCTGTGGCGGGTGGTGTCTGGCCTGACCAGGAATCAGCCCTTCGGGGAGGAGGTTCCTTCCCAGAGAGTTGAACTCAATTGCATCAAGTTAATTTTTCTGGATGTATTTCTCTGCTATTGAACAAAACATTCAGGGGTTCAGATGAAAGGAAGTTTGGGGGTAAAAAATGACAGGGCCAAGGGGATAGAGTCCTCCCCGATTGTTTTCCAGGACACGAGTGAGACCTTTGAAGGAACTTGCTCTGCCGTTTTGGGGGGAGCGGAGGTGCCGTATGAAACTCGAGGCTGCTCTTCAGCCAGGAAGGTCAAACGGAGGGCCTCGGGGGCTCCGTCCCTTTCAATAGCAAAGTGTTCTTACCTTCCACAAAACAGCCACCAGGATCAGTAGCAAAAGGAGTCCCGCGATGACACTTCCTACTATAACTCCGGTGGGTACTTCAGCTTTCTCGTGGGGCTTCGTTATCGTGAGGGGGATCTGTGGGCAGGGAGACGCAAGGCCTGAGTTAACCAACGTCGGCACCGGACACAAGGCGGTCTAGGCCCCTGATTGTACACACTCTACAGTGCGGTCTGGAAAGGCGTGGTGACCCGCTCGGGATCGAGTTCCTCAAACCCGTGCAGTGCGGGTTCCAGAGAAAGTGCTCCCTGCAAGTTCAGGCAAGGAACACGGTGTCCCCTCCCCTCCCGCACCAGCGCGTAGCCGATACGTCGTGTCACCAGCTCGGACGCGCTGTTCATGACCCGGCCACTCCAGTTTCCTGCAGTTTCCTCGTCCAGTGGCCGTGTTTGGAGGGCTTGGGGAGTGGAGTCAAAGGCCAAGTTAGCAACCCAAACGCCTTGAGGTTCAACCCAGAAACTACTCGGAAGTCGGCTCCGGAAATGCTGCCACTCGCGGTGGTGTGACATGGATTGTTGAGGACAGTCTCCCGGGGCTCAGGTTGTCCGTCTCAGCAGTAAAACGGCCCTCGAGGCCACATTCTTTGCGGCCACTCCCTGGCAGTCTCCGTGGCCGTGCTGGACCGGCTGACCTTGCGTTCCGGCGGCAGCGCCGTGTCCTTTCGTTGTGTTTTTTTTTTTTTTTTTTTTTTTTTAATTATAGACAGAGCTGCAACCATTTCCTCCACAAAGCACACTCTCAGAGCGCTGCCGGGGACAAAGCCCAGTTCATTTTCTTGGCTCGACACTGGATGACAGCGGCAGTAGCTGCTTTGCACCCCAGAGCGCCTAAGTCGAGCTAAACTCGAATCTGGCCTTGTGGTGGCTGGATTTCTTTTCATTTGTATCTTCAAGAGCTAAATCGAGGCTTCATAAATTTAGGACAACGGCAGCTATAGTTCGCTCGGCTCACTGCTGCGTGGCCGAGAGAGGGGGTTCTCTCCTGCCCTCTGCCCCAGAGCTTCCTCATCTGGGGTCCCTGGGTCTGCAGGGCCCGCGGGCATGAAATGACTGTGCCCGATTTGTAGATGGGTCTGGGGTTCAAATAAATTTCAGTCACGTATCTACCTGGAGGGACACAGCAGTTTATTATCTGGGTTCTAAATGTTACTTGAAAAATGACTCGATTTCTATTTGGAGTCAATAACTACTTTTATAGACACGATAAAGGGAGAGTCGGCCTCTGTTATGTATCAGTATTGCGTAGAGAAAACCAGAAAAAGTTTCCTAAAGGGTTCAGGAAAATTGTTAAATTTCAGTTGATACATTTATTTAATACTGCTTCCTAAAAAACAAACAAACAAAACCCCAAAACTACAACTTCAGCAAAAACCCAGGTATTGTCTGAACAGTCTATTGTTCTCAAACGAATTTAAAAATCTCTCCTGTGCTTCGCCCAGTCTGAGTTCGCAGCACCCTGAAACTGAAGTGAAGACCAGAGACATCTCCTTTGTTCTACCTCCGATTTTCCAGGCCCCAGCCTCGCAGAGAGGGCGTGGTCCTTGGGGGAGGGTCTGGAGTCAGAAAAGCATCCCCCTGGGTGGAATCACCTTCCCAGGGAGGAGGGGCAGCTGGGCTTCGAGCTCCACCCTCGGGCAGGGAGAGGGGCCAGAACTCAGGGCCACCGGCCTGGTCGCCTAGTGCAAGGCTTGGGCAGCTAGCAGGCCCAGCCGACCTGGGGGGACCCTGGGGGAAGTCTCAACCCGCCTTCCAATTTCTAACAAAAGCTTTGGGAGGAAATGCTCAGGCTCCGCCAGCAGAGAGCTGGGCCAGGCGCTCTGCTATCGGCGAGTGTGGCATAGTCCAACCGGGGTTTAGGGCGGAGGAAACGCGTCCGGTGCCAGCTCCCCCAACAGCCAGCCTTTGTTCCTCCGCAAGGACATTTCTTTGCAAAACCTTTATTCTTTTTTTATAAATCAAGGGGGGCATTTATGGTGTTCTAGGCTGTGAGACCCAATGAATGGGCATTCGGACAGCGCAGTGTCTGGCTTGAGGAATACCACTGAGGAAGAGAGGCCTCTGGTGAAGGCCTCATGTACTGAGCACGCTCTAGCACTGCTCTTCCCAAAGCGCTGCGCTAGAAGGTTCAGCTAAGCTGACGTGGCGTCCTGGCTGGGAGCTGCTTGGTGTCGGCGTGAGGAGGAAGCAGGCCCCGGTGCCGGTCCCTCAGCTGTGCCACGTGGGCGTCACTTCCGACCCAGCTTTGCCAGCACCCTCGCCAGAGGCTCCCCGTGGTAACACCGAATGCTGGAGAGCCAGCGAGCTACTCTGGTGCCCCCTCCCCGCGTCCGGAACAGAGCCCGCGGCGGCCGTGCTCACCGACACTGTGCTGTCCTCGACCACGTAGATCTGCGGGTTGTAGGTGTCCACCTCTGCAGAGGCCGCCAGCCGCACCGTCTGGAAGGACGCCTGCAACGTGAGCAGAGAGAATGTTCACCCAGCCGAAGGCGGCGCACGAGCCTCCGGGCGCTCGTTCCTCACCAACTTCCTTGTAGACGAGGACAAGTCAATCCCCATCTGAGGCCCCAAGACACTCTGTCCGGAACCCGGTGGCAGGTGGCAGGTGGCAGGCCCACCCCCCAGTGCCTAGGAATTTCCACGTGTGGGTGACGGCCCTGCCCAGCCCTCGAGCCCTGGCTCGGGGGTGGGGCAGACATCTCCCCAGGTGGCTCTCACTTAAAACAGGATTGCAGAGCAGGCTGAGACACACAGTTTTATATTGGGCAAGACTGTAGCACAGATTTCTGAAAACGTAAGTTTGCAGCCTAGGGAAAATTGCAAACTCAATATTTTTAACGGGAACAGACTCACATACAGAGAACAGACGGACAGTTGCCAGGGGAACAGACTCATAGAGAACAGACGGACAGTTGGCGGGCTGGGTGAAAGGTGACATACAAAGGATGTAAACTACAGCATAGGGGTTACAGCCAATAGCATTGTGTCATCAGTGACTACGTGTGGTTCAGGTGGGTACCGGGGCATCGGGGGGACACTCGGTAAAGTCCATGATGGTCTGACCACCACGTGTGTCCCTGAAACCAAAAGCAAAGAACAGTGGATGTCCGCTGTCATAGAAAAGGAAAAAAGCAAACTCGATATTTTTATCTATTTACCTGAGAAAGTGACACAGGGGGATGAAAGAGCAGGTTAAAAAGGGAAGAGAGTTTGTCTTCCTGGGTACGCATGGAATACTACACTGCTTGAAAGTACGCTTGACCACGCACGTCCACAGCGGACGCCCGGAACCTCTGGTCATGCCTGTAACAGGACCAATCGTTTCGGATTTCCTCATCTGAGCATGTCTATAAAAAATACTGAAATGCGGGGAGGTACATAGGAAGCACATGTGTTCTATGCTAACGTTTCTAGTAACCTAGATGAAATCACTTTACATACACTCCTGGATCTATTATAAAAATCTGTTTCATTGGTTACGTCACTGATGCGTATATTCTTTTCTCTGTCGTGCAGGCCCTGGGCCTGGGGCTTGCTTGGAAACAGGGTACACAGTGCCCAGAGCCAAGGATGCGCACACATGCCCGGGCTACCAGGACTCAATTCTCTGGTCCCCGGGAACAGGATTCAGTGTGCTCCGTGGGGTCATCTGCTGGACTCTATCCGGGAGCCAGAAAGAGGGACTGTGTCTCCAAGAAGGGGGCAGCGGCCTTTCTTCCCGGGGCCCGGTCTCCCATGACTCTACCTCATCCCCTCAACAGGGTTCACTGCGTCCGAAATGAACCCTGATCCCTGGTCTCAGAAACATATCTTTCTGGGGGAACATTGAGAGAATTGATAATGGTTTAAACATCTTTTTAAGTCCTCTGAGCTACGTGATGGCTGGTTTCGTAGTCTCTGTCGACTAAAGATGTAAGAAGCGCCTTACAACACTGGTCACCTGCCCTGCCAAGGCAGGCCCCCCGCACAGGCTCACAGGTGTCGTCTGCGGGGCTGGCGTGCCGTGGCCGGTGCACACAGCCTGCACACCCGAGAGCGGAGAGACGAGCCCTCGGCAGGCTTTTCCTCACAGAAGGCGGCCAAGGGCGCCGTGCGGGGAAGCAGCAGCCGCTTGGTCACGAAACCGCCTGCACCGCTCGGAGCGTCAGGTTCTGATGCAGAACCGAGACCAGGGTTTAGACGGGGCCGCCAGTGGCCTGAGAACATCCCCTGTGCTGTAGAAATGGCCGAAGGGCAAGGCGCAGACGGGCATTTGGCGCTGGCGAGGGAAGAAGGTGAACAGGACTTGGTACCCGGCGGTGACTCTCAGGGTGGCCGTCTCAGTTCAACCATCATCACGGTCACGTTGCAAAGCCTCAGTATTATGCTTTCTTCAGAACTCTGTTCCCAGAAACAAAACTGTTTTTCTTCTGAAAACCTCTGGGCCGCTACTTGTAAAGGTTACAAGTGACCGTTAAAATGAGGAAGCTTTAAAGAAACTCAAGAAGATCCAATGCATTTCGCAGAGCCGGCCGCTTGCGTGTCGGTGGCCGCGGTCCGTCTCCGTCCGTCCCAGCTGGCCAGGCTGCCGCCCGGAAACGTGCTCCTCCAGCCCAGGGAGCCAGCCCGCCGGCGAAACCCAGCACCGACCTGGGCAGCCGGGCGAGGGGATGATTAGGGCGGGCTTTGGGGCCCTCAAGGCCCACGAGCCGGTGCAGCTAACGAGGAGGCGGAATGAGAGACGGGAGAAGCAGCGGCCACTCTCCAGCCTGACCACCCCGCCCCGTCCCGCCTCGCTAGTCCTCTCTGCGACGTCTGTATCCCGAGCAGTGCTTAGATCTCGGTTCCAGGGACACGTGCCTTGGGAGCTCAGCTCTCTAATGTGACACAAAACTGCACAGCAGGGCCTGGGGATTGCGGGAGAGGCCATGACGTGGTTACAGGAGGGGAGAGGCTGCAGCGTGAGCACCGTGAGGGCTGATGCGTCCGTTAAAATAAAGATGAAAAATCCACCACAGGGCCCTGGAGGCTTCTGACTACGTTCCTGTTTGGCTGCCTCAGTCAGAGCCAGGGACGCAATCAGGTTTGAGGAGCCCATTCTTGGGGTCCCCTCCAGACTGACAGGGGCTCCTAGCCCCTCTGCTCCCAGCCCCTCTGCTGGCACTGTGCCACCTGCCGGGCGGAGGACACACGGACACGGCTTTGGCACTTCCTTCAGACTCCTCACGAGCTTGAAATGACTTCGAGGGCGGCATGTGCACTTCACCAGCCGAGGGCGACCCAGCAGAGCGGGGTCCCCGTCCCACACAGAAAGGGGAGCCCTCGGGTCAGATCCACGCTGGGTGGTGTGAGATCGGTCAGACAGTCCTCGGGGCGTCCAGGGAGGGGCACAGCGCCATGCGCATTTGCACTTGGGTGCGGAGCAGGAGACGAGGGCGTCAGACACGCACGGCCGGGCCTCACACCCCAGGCAGCAGAGGGCACCCTGGCCCCGTGCCCAGCTCTGCGGGAGGCGGGCCTGGCGTCTGAGGAGCAGCCGTTTTCTGGGCGCGCAGGGGACTCAGGGCACAGCCAGGCTGCGCGGGCTGCGGGAAGAGAGGAGGCGCAGTGCCTTCCGGGCGGGGCTGCTCCCCGTGATTTGGGCGCCCCTGACATTAGCCGGAACACCACTGTCGCCAGAGGCGGGGCTCACCACCCCTTGCTAGCCATGGGCTCGGAGAGGTGGCTGATACTCACGGCGGCGAACGTGCCGTTCCAGACCCTGGTGGACACGTTCAGGAAGTACTCCCCTCGGGCCTGCGGGTCCCTCAGCCAGCAGGTGACGTTCAGGCACGCGGCGGTTCTGCAGTTCTGGGCAGAAGAGCGAGGGTTAGTGCCGGCTTCCAGAAACCCAGTCACAGCCTTGCCCCACAGGTGGGGCGGGAAGGGTGGAGGGCAACAGCGAGCTCATGAACTATCGTACTTCTAACTCTTCACTGGGCCACGTAAGCACACACCCTCCGCCCAGCCCACCCCCTGCGGGGGGGCCTCAGCACACACCCTCCGCCCAGCCCACCCCCTGCGGGGGGCCTCAGCACGGTCCGGAGGTGGGCAGGAAGTGCACCAGCCCGCTAATTCACTAATTCTGACAGTGAACAGCAGAAACTAATTGTGTTCATCAACAGATCACCAGCCAAGCAAATTATGGAATATGCATATACAAAAGGCAGTGCGACCTAGTCGTTAAACATAATTGATAGAGACACGCCTTAGATTAAAAACCAGCTGAGAGTAAAAGACTGGCAGCCGCCAAGGCGGGAGGAGAGGGGATGAGCCCGGGCACAGAGGAGACCAGGGCAGAGACACTGTGACACGGGGTACAGGTCAGCCGCATTTGTCCAAACCGTGGAGCCCGCAGCACCCACACTGGAGCTGGTGTAGCCTCTGGGCTTGGGGTGATGCTGCGGGCGCAAATGCAGGCGCGTCCCCGGATCAGCGCGCCCTCTGGGGGGGGGGGTGGGCAGGGCAGTGCCGGAGCCCTTGCCTCTGTGGGAGTGAGGGGTGTGGGACCCCTCTGTGCTTTTCACTCAGTTTGCTGGGAGCCTAACACTGCTCTCAAAAATAAATCTATTTTATTTTATTTTTATTATTATTATTATTTTTTAATCCTCATCCGAGGACATTTTTCCATTTTTCATTCAGATAGAGTGGGAGGGAGAGAGAGAGAGAGAGAAACATCGATGTGAAAGGGACACATCGAGTGGCTGCCACCCGCACAACCGACCAGGGCCGGGGACAAACTGCAACCGAGGTACATGCCCTTAGCGGGAACCGAACCCGGGTCTCTCGGGACCGCAGACCGACCCTCTAACCGCTGAGCCAAACTGGCCAGGCTATTTTACTTTATTATTATTATTTTTTAATCCTCACCTGAGCATATTTTTTTCCCATTTATTTTCAGATAGAGTGGGAGGAAGAGAGAGAGAAATACACATCGGTGTGAGAGACACATCAACTGGTTGCCTCCCGCAGACCCTGACCAGGGCCAGGAACTGAACCACAGCCCAGGCACATGCCCTTGACAGGAATTGAACCCGAGACTCTGACCCTCGGGCCGACGCTCTAACTGCTGAGCCAAACCGGCCAGGGCAAAAATAAATCTATTTCAAAAAGTCTGTGACGTCTTGGCCTACAAGATTTCTGTAACAGTATCTGCGCAGGCCTGTACGCTAAGGGACATAGAGGAGGCTGGTCGTTAAAGGACTGGTCAGCTGTCAAATTTGCAGAGAACTTGAATTCCTCTGTCGTCTTTTGTGTGGTCATGTTGGTTTTATGTTGTTCCTACCTAGCCATTGCCCATTTTTTACAAAATCAAAACAATTTTCACAAAAATAAGGACAAGGCTGAGAGGTGTGATGCAGACGCTGAGGTGAGTTTCTTCTGGGAATTTTTACATATTAGATTTCAACCACATGAACACTGTAACTGTACTGTAATTACTTCACAAAGAAACTGTTTCCTCCTCCTAGCTTCCTGTTCCCCATGCATGGGAAATGAAACAATGTAATCTAGACTCGAGTGTGTACTTCTCCACCTCCATTCCCCCTGGCCATCGGGGGCAGAACATAAATCTAGGATGGGGGGGTGGGGGGGATAAGTGGCCGAGTCCCAGGTCAGTTGAGCAACTAATCCCCAAAGGGAGCTGTGGTCGGTGAACCGGTCCTCACCAGTTCTTTGACGTGCCGGAAATTTTCACTCTTGAAAGTCACAGGAGTCGGCCTCTGTCCTATCTTCAGCGGGTTTACGTCGGCGTTACAGCTGATGTCGCCGGCCTACAAAAGGACGTCAGATTTCGTTTAGGAACTAAAGCAGTTTATGACGTTCCTTCGACCTGCCAGGAAATCCTCCTGCCACGCTGGGCATGGGGGGCTGTGGGCCTCGCCTCGCTGCTGACCTGGCCACACCTGTCCTCACCAGGTAACACCTGGAGTAGTCAAAGCCCCAGGTGACCTGACGGGGCTGCTGGTTCCTAGAGCCCGTCTGTGAGGAGACGGATTTGCAACAAGAGACCGTGTGTGATTTGGCTCGGGGCTCTCTTCTGTGCAACATTTGGGGATTTTGATTCCCTGTCATCACCTACGCACCCCACAGGAGTGGCCTTGGAGCCAGCTAAGTGCGGAGGACGCTGGGCCAATGTGAGGTTGGGGTCCGTGCTCCTCACCCAGGCTCGTCAGAACCCCCAGGGTTCCAAAGACAAGCACAGGTGTTCGGCCTTAGCAGAGAGGTTCCTGTCCAACTGCTGGGGATGGGGCCGGCCCTGCGCGGACGCACGAAGTGACCAGAGATGAAGCGAGCAGCCAGGCTCGAGGGCTGCAGAGGGGTCAGGCTGACCAGCTGCAGAGAGCAGCCCGGAGGCGACTCACCTCTGGGTGGGCTCACCTCTCCCTTCCCAGCCCACTGGCCAGTCTGTGGACGGGCTCCGCTGCTCGGCCCTCCACGGGGTCAAGTCAGAGCTTTCGGGGTAATTTCTGCCATCTAGACTCACATCTGTTTTCTTATAACAATATCCTGCTTCTAATATGAAGCTGACATTTTGTCCATTGGTACCCACCCAAGCTGGCCCAGGGGTCACCTCGTCAGTTTCCCGTCTACACCCGTCAGACGTGAGCGCCCCCACCGAATGGGGGTGCACAGGGTTAGAGGCCATCGGGTCACCCTTACCTGGTCTGTGTGGACCCCCGTCAGGTACATCAGCGGGTTCTTCTCTTTGGTGTACTGGGGGATGTGGATGACGACGGAGGCCATGCTTACTGGAATGCTGCCCATGGTCACCTGTGGGACGGAAGGAAACAGTCTGGCTTTCCAGGGCCCCCCGCACCTGGGGTGCAGTAACTGCTGTGTGACGAAGGCCCACAAACGTCACACAGCCGAGTCCACACAGAAGGAGTCGGTCCTTCACAGTGAAGGGCTCTGTTGTTTCACCTCTTGGAAAAATCTTGACATTGACAGTGTTAATCAGCCAATAATTTGTGACAGAGATGGCGAGAGTTATCCACCGTCTGTGGAGCTGGGCTGCCAGGCATGAGGTCCCGCCCTGCGCCCAACTGGCAGTGTGGCCGGGCATGGGGCTGGACCTCCCTGCGCCTCCTTTGCTCATGAGTACAGACAACCGGCAGCCAGTCGGGGTGCATAGTACAGCATTTGTTCTCACCGGTGGGGTGCCTGTTCGCTTGGTCCAGTGCTCACATCCCTCGGTGGTTAAACATTTTAAGTGACACCCACAGGAATAATAATCTTACCAACCTCAGAACTGCTCTGGGATTACATGGGTCAACACAGGGAAAGCACTTGATACAAAGGCTGATACTTAGTACACTCTACGCTTGTTACTACCAATTGGCTAGATGTCTCCTTAAAGAGGGAGTTGCCAAATACCACGCATATTTCATAAATTCCAGTATCTGGATCACAAATCAAGGCTCATTTAAAATTTTTTTTTTTAGAATCACCACGTGTCAGGGTTGTGTCCATGTAACAGACTAGTAAGACACGTAAAAAGAAAACTGTATCGACTCAGCATGGTGGATGGATTTTCTTTTTGCTTTTCAAGGTTCCTGTAATGTTATAGTATAAAATAGTTACTTTTACAAATTAACTTCTCTTTGTGTAATTGATAACAATCTGTAGCTCAATCATTGCTTATACTAATAGACCACAGAAACTGAATTAAAATATTTCTGGATACTACCTCGCATGACCACAGAATGCATAGTTGCACGCACGGTAAGCTTCTCAAACAGATGGGCTCTCTAAGGATAAACTGGCGTACTGAGTATATTCCACAGACATGTGCCCACACTAATGCCATTCTATTAACGTTCTGTGGATTCATGTTGGACACTTTGTTTCAAAATATATCAATTATCCCTTACCCAGGACACATGCCTATACACAGTGCCCAGTTGCTTCCTTATCTGTGGTCTATCTTAGTGATTCTCAAAGTACGGCAGCTGGACCAGCAGCATCAGTATCCCCTGGGAGCTTGTAAGAAACTCACATGTGTAGACGCCCCCCCGAAACAGAAGCTCTGAGGGCGGAGCCCAGTGACCGAGTTTCAACAAGTCCCCCAGGTGATCAAACGCACCAGGGTTGACCACCACTGGCGTATTTCAACTTCTCTTTACTTCCTTCTCTTCCTGCCCTCCCAACCTCCCATCTTTATAACAAGTGTACGAACCTTAACGGAGAAGATAAATTTTGGACCAATGTCTTCAAAGTTGTGCACGATCAAAGGAACATTCCCGTCCGAGGAGACTTCGTAAAAATTTATGTTGGTTGATCTGTTGGGGGATGTTTGTAAAGTCAGGTATTTCAGTCCTGCTGTGCTTGAAGCTTAATAGTTCTCTGACTTAAGAATCTTCTAGCTTATGTGACAAGCAAAACAGGTTAGAGTTAGGTACAAAAATGCTATATGAGGACAAATGGGCTACATGAAAAGTATTCTGGGCTTATGGTCCAGTGTTCCTCCCGGAGACGAATTCCCTTCGAAGCATGTCCCTCCGTGATCTTTCTGCCGAGAGCTCTGTGCTGTGTGCTCATCAGCTGCAAAGTGTGTAAACTAAGCACAAAAGTGTCACTTGAGCAGCCAGAGGCGCTGGCCGAGGTTGCTGGTACACATCGGCGCCTGGACCTCCTGAGGGCACGGTGGCTTGCCCGGCCGGAGGGCCTTCCCCCTGGCGTGGCTGCAACAGCGGTAGGGCCCTGGGCCTGAGCTCCAGCGGCGCGCATTACTGACACCCGAGGTCAGGACGCACGTCTGGCCAGCCGACCCCTTCCTCCCTCCTGCTCTAGTTCCAAGATAACTACTGCTTTGGTCTGGATCGGGCTGGTCAGTTGGGTAGAGACTTTTGGCTGAGCCAGAGGTGCTAACAGCCCAGATGTAGAGGCACTGGACCGATTTTGATCTCTGCCCTGGGGATTGCCTACTGGGGTTCACAGGTGCAGTGATGACCAGGTCAGGAGGACCCCCACAGGCCAGCCACACTGCCACAGACCTGGATACCCTCCCTGCCCCCACTCAAGCGGGCTCCGAGGCTGTTCCGAGCAGGGTAGCTTCACTGGGGTGGGGGCAGGGAGCAGCGGGAGGTGGCTGAGAAGCAATATTTATTCCCACCGGGTAATCCATTCTAATTATAGGGTGCTGATCACATGTCCTAAAAATTATAGTGGACGTTTTCTGAGACCGAGTTTTTTTTAAATTTCTTTACTGAAAATACTGCCTTTCTCCTTTTTTTTTTGTCTCCTGTAGAAAAACACTTTTCCAAATTCTCAAAAGGAAACCACGTCACGGGGAGTCTTAAATAGATGTGGTGTCTGTCAGGGTTACATATGTGCGGGGCACGACGGTCTGTGGGCCCAGGGAGACGGGCCCTCACGAGTCTTGGGGCCACAGAGCCCGGCCGTGTGCGGGAGCCGCTGCCTTCCACGGGATCTTCGTGGGAGCAGACAGTTTCTCGTTGATTAATATGTTCTGCTCTTGCATTTTAAAAAGATCCAACACTTTTCCGTGTGTAACCTGTGTTCCTTAAGTCACTTGAGTGTTGGTCAGTGTATTTATGACAGCAGTTAGCTGTACTCTCGGGCTTCTGTCTCAGAAATAGTTCTACTCTCATCTGCTTCCATCCATCACAATATAGCTGCACATTTATCTGGCACCAAAGTGGTCGTCGAGGGGCACATGCGATACTTGGGAAGGACTTTTCCCCAAAAAGCTTGCAAAGGTGTTTGCTTTAAAAATTTCCCCCAGCATTACTTGTGATAATTAAACAAAACAAAATAAAAATGCAAAACATCCAAATATCTCATTAATATCAAATTGATGACATAAATTACAATCCAGCTAGGAAAAGGACAAGTCAGATCTGTATGTCCCGTTATGGATTTTGCTAGGATTACATAGGAAACAAGGCACCCCTGGCCGGTTTGGCGGTTAAAGCATCAATGGTCTTGGGTTTGATTCCTGGTCAAGGGCATGTACCTGGGTTGCAGGTTCGATCCCCAGCCCCAGGTGGGGTTGTGCGAGAGGCAACCAATCAATGTGTCTCTCTCACATTGATGTTTCTCTCTCTGCCTCCTTCCCTTCCACTCTATCTAACAATCAGTGGAAAAATATCCGTGAGTGAGGATTAACAACAACAATAACAAATAGCAAGGCATACAAAAATGTTATCATTCCACGTGGGTAAATAGTGTGTGTGTGTGTGTGTGTGTGTGTGTGCGTGTGTGCGTGTGTGTGTGTGCGTGTGTGTGTGATGCTTAGATCCTGGTAGAAAAATAAACCCTGCATCTGGAAGGTATTCTTGAAACAGTCGAGTTAGTCATTTATGGGATGAGCAGGAGGGGTGGGGAGGGATGACTTCATTTTCCGTTGTGTATCTTTCTCTAACATTTGGATTTTCTATCCGTGTGCATTTAATGTCTTTCTTTAAAAAAATCCACAGGAATCATCTGGGTGGAAGAATTAAGAACTACTCTAGCTTTTGTTCTTCATAATTCTTCACATTAACTTTTTAAATTATATGATATATATATATATATCCTCACCCGAGGACATTTCTTTTGATATTTTGTTCAGATAGAGTGAGAAGGAGAGAGAGAGAGAGAAACACCGACATGAAAGGGACACATTGAGTGGCTGCCACCCACACGACCCCAACCAGGGCCGGGGACAAACCGCAACCGAAGCACGTGCCCTTAGTGGGAACCGAACCCGGGTCTCTCCAGACTGCAGGCCGACGCTCCAACCGCTGAGCCAAACCGGCCAGGGCTAAATTGTAGGATATATTTTAAAGAACATCAGAATGTCTTCAAGTCCAACTTACAAAGGTCCCCCAAAGACACAGCTGAGCTGTTAGTGCCGCGAGGTGCCCTCACCCTTATATTTATCGCACAGTAAACTACGGGAACACTGTGGAGTCACAGGAGGCCGTTTGAGCGAGAGCATCTCGGGAGAGGAAGCCCCGGTGGGGCAGGAGGAGCAGGCAGGCAGCGGGGTCCTCTCCACCCCGTCAGCCGCATTTGCCTTCAGTTACTACGTCGGACGAGAGGTCTCTGAACTGTGTGGCTCTGATTAGTTTTCCAGGAACCATGACTTGGACGGTCCTTTGTTTCTTTCGCCGTGTGCGGCTCGCTGGACACAGAAGTGTTCTTTTCACCTGCTCATGTGTCTCAGGCTCTAGACATACCGTCCTTTCTGTTTTTGCTCAGTGAGCTGTCGAGGGGTCTCCACAGTCCCTGCATTCAGGGGCTGGCGCGAGGTGCTGGACGCGAGGGGTTCGCTGTCCCTGCGCCCTGGCGCCGGGCTTGTGGGACACACACTGCTGCCTGTGTCCAGGGGTCATCGGTCTGGCTGGGTGGAGTCTGCTCCCAGGCGTGGAGGTGGGTGGGCTGTGTCCCTGCACCGCTGTGACCCAGTGTCTGTGTCCGTGAAACCACTTCTCTTCATGGGGGTGAAGGCGGTGTGAACCTCTCAGCACCTGCAGCCTTCACCTGTTCCTCGCACCTCGAGACACCTGTCTCCCTGAACAACTCAGGACCCCTGGGGTCCCCTGCCCTCCAGCCAGCGCCCGGGGCACACCTGCTCTGGGCACAGGACCGGGAGGACAGCACTTCCTCGTGCTGTGGCAGAGGACACCTTCCCCGTTGGTGGGAGGGAACTGGCCATCTGCTATGTCAGGAATTTTCCACCCAGGAATTAGTCTTCTGTGACTGGGTCATCGTGTGGGGTGGGCCTGTCACGTGGAAAGTACTGGGCTTGGGGCTGCAGCGTCGGGGAACAGGGACACCGCTGGGGGACTTGTGTGGACAGGAACAGAGGGGCCTGGAGAAGGGCGTGGTGTGACCCTCGGGCTCTGCCCGTCTGAGGGCCTGTGGGACCTTCCCACTGCCTCCCGGCTGGTATGCTCAGTCCACGGCCGGAGGCGCCCACGCGCCCCTGGGGACCCGTCTGCCTGGACCCGTCTGACACTGCGTGTCAGTGGGCAGGGAAGCACCTGAGTTCATGTTCTCCGGTGAAGAGCGAGGACACAGAAGACCTGCTGAGTCACGGCCAAGCTGCCCTACCTGGTGATGTGGATGTCCGCGTCATACAGCAGGGGGACGGTGACGTTGACCCGGTTGTCTGCCTGGTTTGCCTCCTGGCTCTCGCTGTTGGAACAGGCACGAGGAAGTTACTGGGAGAGAAGGGTGAGGAGAGCCATCGGTGCATGACCTCGCTCCGCTTACCTGGAGGCCTGGAAGCTGACCAGCGCCTGGTTCTGAAGGTTCTGCAGATTGAAGTCGAAGTTGATAGTGAACGTCACCTATGCACAGAATGCAAAGCGTCAGTGTGTGGCGCTCCGTGCGCAGGGCCAACAGGAAGACGACGCTTCCCGTGAGAGTCGCGCCCTGCAGCCGGGGTCTGGGTGTCACGTGCCGCAGCCTCTACGCGCGCAGGACACGCATCCGCTTGTCCAGCTGCTCCGCACGCCTCCCCCTGAGAATCAGGACGGCGGGACTCGCACCCCACACACGTCACCCCAGGCACGTGTACCCGCCTGGACCTGGGAGCTTTGTGCTACTGTGAGGTTCGCTTATCAGGGGTTGGCCGGTGGCCTCCCTCCGGGGCTCTGGGTACAGCACTGACCAACGTATTCAGAGAAAAAGAACTTTCTGTATCGTACGTGCTTTTTGGGATCCACGGCACGGGGGAGATCTCACATTTATTAGTAACAGATTTTAAACACACAGCCGGTGGCTCGGTGATGCCACTGAAGGGCGACGCGACCAAGGAGGGCTGGCAGATTGACACGGGTGCGGGGGGGTGGCTGGCGTGGATTTGAGGATGAAATGCAAGTTGTACCTGCTGTTCCGTCTTCAAAGCAGGGTAGCCTACGTTGCAGGCAACAGACTTCTGGGACGGAGCAACCTGGCACGTCACTTCTGTCCCGTCAACCTGGACGAGACCCAGGAAAAAGGAGCAATTAGTGCATGCCGTGTGCACACCCACGCTGATCCTTGTCCAATCAAACGGGCATTTCACCAGTAAGGCTGATTCACAGTGAAGTCACCTTGTCCCCAGGACTTGAAAATCACGTACTGTCCAGGTGGCTACTGTACTATTTTCCTTGTAAGCAGGACACGCAACAGGCCAAAGGAGAGGCCAAATACTTGAATTTTCCCCCAGAAGTAAATCATAGCTCTTATAGTTCATAAGCACAAAATGACTTTAATCCGATATTCAGAAATTCTGTCTTTAATACCTACCTTTCTCTGAATATATTTGAAATCTCTAGTTTCACAGGAAGAAAGCAAAATCGTACTTTGGTGTTTGTTTATAGTCTTTAAACAATTTAAAGAACCTTTTTTAGTTTTCATCTTTTTTTTTTTTTCTTTCTTTCTTCTTCTTTAAAATCACGTGCCATTTTGCACAGGGAATTTAAACACTGAAGTCAGAATGGCTTTAGGACAAGAGATCTATCCAATCTGCATCGACTTCAAACGGGATGGAACGGTTTTGGAATTCTCTCATCAAGTAGGGAGCTAATTTGGAAAATCTTAGCTTCTCCTCTGCTCTCCTTTTCCCTGCTTGGTGGCCGAGCAGGGACCGGGGCATTCGCGGTCAAGTGCGCTGCTGGTATAGTGATCAAGTCGACAAGATTAACTGACCCTGCTGGAATGTGTCCCCTGGCAGCCGCAGGGCTCGCATTTCTCAGCAAGTGCAGCTCGGAGCCTCTGAGCACACAGGTGGCAGGGGGCCTAGGCGAGCGTCTGGCTGAGGAGGCCAAGTCTCGGGGCAAAGGAAAAACTGACCCAAAGGCAGCAGCAGAAGCGCAGGGAGGCAGAGCCAGGCGGTGCCCTCCCGGGGTAACTGGGCGGAGCCCCGGGGTCAGGCCCCGCCCTGCGGCCCTGGTTCAGGAGCTTCTCCCACAACCTGGGACAGGCTGAGCTTCAGGAAGACGGGGGCTGGGGAGCAAGCCCGAGCAGGGATGGCCCCACTTACGGGCATGGACCAGGACGCGAAAAACAGGTTTTCTGAAAAACCCACGGCGAGCTCAGTGTTATATGCGCTCTCCTTTCTGTTCCTCAGTGTCACTGAGAATGTTAGTCTTCTGTTTTGGTTGCTGACAATGAAGGGTCGTTCTCTGTTAAAAAAAAAACAAAAAACAAAACAAAAAAGAAAAAAGTCATTAAAGGGAAAAAAGGGACCCAGTATTCAAATACCTCACTCATTTAAAAAATATCCTCTTTAGATTTATTTGGAATACTGAGAAGACTGCTTAATAAGAAGTCTCTGCGTTGCAAAATGATACTGACAATGAATAAGTCAGTGCGTTTGGTTTTTCGTCTTGGTTGCTTTTAAGTACAATTCAGGGGAAGGGACATCCATATACACATGGTGTTATGTTTCTGATTGGTTTACAGTATGGATGGTAGAAATCAAAATTTAGATCTCAGAGGTCTTTATTAGCTACCATTATTGCTTCCGTGGACCAAAAAATAAATCTCCATAAACATTCACTTGAATAAACCAGTTGGATGCGTCTTTTATTCTATTTTACACTGAGCTGTAATTTTTTAATTTTCATTTTAGAGAAAGGCAGGCAGAGAGAGACACACACGGATGTGTGACAGAAACATTGATGGGTCGCCTCCTGCACGAACCCCAACCAGGAACCAAACCCGACACCTTTCGGGGTACGGATGATGCTCAACCCACTGAGCCGCCCGGCCAGGGCCACACTGAGGTTACAGGTGAAACTTACTGAGCAGCTGGCAGCTGTTGGACACCCAGCACCAGGTCAGAGATGCAGACACCGTCGTCCCCACAGTCTTTATAGAAAGGGACCTACAGAAGGAAGACAGCGAGTGGCGGAGACTGCGCACAGCACATTCCGTTTGCACGACGCTCGGACCAGGCCAGACGACGCAGCGTCATGGGAACATAGACACGTTCGGCAACGTCAGAAAGGGAAGCAGTGACCAGCGCGAAATTCCAGGGGTGACTGGCCAGAAGGGGAGAAGGTGGATCTGCTGGGGGCGGGAGTGTACGGAGAACCTCACAGGTATGGGCTACATCCTACTTGTCAAGTGGGTGGTGAGTACAAGGTGTTTGTTTATTGTTATTTATTTCTTCAACCAACATCTGTGGACCCCTTGTGGTGGGCCGGGCACTGCTGGCCGGGGGTGGGGGGCCGAGCAGTGAATGGAGAAGGTGACATCTCCTGGGCTTCCATGCTAGCAAACCATGCACATGAATAACTGTGTTTCGTTGAGAAACGTAACGAGTCCAAGGCTGTGTCCTAAGTGTCTTTTAAACAGCAGTGCCTGGGAACCCCTGCCGGCCGGTCTGAGCTCCAGGAAGGACAAGCCACTTACACTGAACACCTTGGCCGTCTCAGAGTAGGCTTCCAGGGCAGGGCTGGTGCCGGGGTTTTGCAGGCTGATGTTCACACACAGGTCCAGGGAGCTGACCACATCCGAGGGTTCCTAGACACACACACACACAGGGTTATGAGCACACAGAAGCTGTGCACGGGAGAATGACCAGTGTTGTTCAGGATTTCCAAGACTCACTGCTCTCGGCCCTGATTCCGCTCTCCGTCTCTCCACTACCAGGAGCCTGAAAGACGGGGTTCAGTGACCCCAGCAGCAACTCTCAGTTAAGCTCATCAGTGACCTCGTCATGCATATGTAAGGGATGACAGCTATTTAGATGATGTGCCCAGTGCTCATGTTCAGAAGACGCCCCCTGTCTGTCCTTGGCTCTGGGCCGTTGCTGATGTCCTGTTAATTCCTACTGCCCAGACGAGGTACACTTAGGTGTTCTGAGAACACCTCTGGCAGGGACCCGGGGACTGCCAAGGGATGGACGGAAGGGTTCCCTTCCTTAGGCAGAACCTACCTCTGCTCTGCCAAGCCAGACAAAGGCGGTGCCCACATCTGAAACCAAGCCCCCCAACTTCCCACTCCGGCTAACAGTGAGGAGCCACTCTGCTCCTCCTCGCACAGGTCAGACAACACATGTCTCACCCCGAGGTCGGCAGTCAGCACCCCCAGCGCCCCTTCTGCATGTCTCACCCCGCGGCCGGCAGTCAGCACCCCCAGCGCCCCTTCTGCACGTCTCACCCCGAGGTCGGCAGTCAGCACCCCCAGCGCCCCTTCTGCACCTCTCACCCCGAGGTCGGCAGTCAGCACCCCCAGCGCCCCTTCTGCACGTCTCACCCCGCGGCCGGCAGTCAGCACCCCCAGCGCCCCTTCTGCACGTCTCACCCCGAGGTCAGCAGTCAGCACCCCCAGCGCCCCTTCTGCACCTTTCACCCCGTGGTCGGCAGTCAGCACCCCCAGCGCCCCTTCTGCACGTCTCACCCCGAGGTCGGCAGTCAGCACCCCCAGCGCCCCTTCTGCACGTCTCACCCCGCGGCCGGCAGTCAGTACCCCCAGCCCCTTCTGCGCGTCTCACCCCGAGGTCGGCAGTCAGCACCCCCAGCCCCTTCTGCGCGTCTCACCCCGAGGTCGGCAGTCAGCACCCCCAGCCCCTTCTGCGCGTCTCACCCCGTGGTCGGCAGTCAGTACCCCCAGCACCCCTTCTGCACGTCTCACCCCGAGGTCGGCAGTCAGTACCCCCAGCGCCCCTTCTGCACGTCTCACCCCGTGGTCGGCAGTCAGCACCCCCAGCACCCCTTCTGCACGTCTCACCCCGTGGCCGGCAGTCAGCACCCCCAGCGCCCCTTCTGCCCTCTGCGTTCGGGGACCGGGTGGACAATTAGCCATGTCACATTGGCCTCTTGGTTCTGAGACTCCCATGTAATGGAAAACGCAGAAATGCCAAAACAGGGTCACCAGTGCCACCCAGCAGCCCTTCCGCCAACCTCCCAGTTCTTGTCCGGAGAGAACAGCGTATGAACGATAAACACCGACAACTGTTTGCCTTTTCCTGAGCAATTAACTGTGTCGTCAGCCCGTCCATTCCCAGCCGGAACCACTCCTGTCCTGAGCCCTCTGGGGGCCTGACCACCAGGCTGGCTCCTGACCCCAAGAAAGCACTGGCTCAGTTGGCTCAGGGTGGGCACGCAGGACGGACTCCGTTGCTGTGTCACATGTGGTCCCCAACGGCATCTGGGAGCCGCCCCAAACGGCACACCTTCCGCAAACTTCGAGTGCAGGGGAGGCGTCTCCACCTGACGACAGCCGCCGTCTCATCCCACCCTGGTCCCATGTTTAATCGGACCCACCATTTAGCTCAGGGGTAGGGGAGGATGGGAACCAGCTTTTATTTAAATAATTGCAATAACTGGCCCCTTAACACAAAAAAAGTCCAGGCCTTCGCAAACAAGAAACCTTGAACTTGAAACAACTGCTTCGTGCATCAGAACCCCGACTTCAGCACTTAGCATTTCTCGAGAAAGGGTCTCTGCCGCTTCCAGCTACCCTACACACATCTGGGGTGTCCCTTCAGTCTCCCTACTCCCGGACCTTCAAACGCCACGTTTCTGGTGGTGAGGACCCAGAATACGCATTTTTATAAGTTCCCTGGGCAATTCTTATGCCTCTATAACTCTGAGAACCACATTTCTAGAGAAGTTCGTCAATGGCTCTTTCAAAAATGGTTTCCTAAGAAAATGACACTTTCAAACACCCTCATGTGGTGTCTAGGGGACAACAGTCAGAGTTCGTTCATACAATAAATTTCCTGTTGGGAGTTTTCCCCGGAGAAGCATTTTTCCTCCTCGGGAGAGTTTCAGAACCCGTGACGGACAGCAGTTACGGCCTAGGATTAGAGCGCGCCATTCTGACCCGCTACCGGCCGTCCCTCCCCCCAGTAGCGGAAAACACAGGTGTGTTCTTTCCAGCACCTTCGAAATGAACGCACTTTTTCCGTGATAGGAAAAGGTCAAGACAGAGGTTACTGTGAACTAAGAGAGCTGCCTCGTAAACCCCCGACGAGGCGCTGGGTCCCTGGTGTCTTCGGGAACCCTATATTCAGCCTGTGCGCTGCAATCCCACGCAAAGCTCACTGCTATAAATACGGGGCTGTGACCACGCGCATCAGCAAAGGGGACACGCTTCCTGTTCTCGGAGAAGGACATTCGTTAGGAAGACCGGCATTCTCTGACTCTCACGTGTCCACGCGAGCTTCCGCCACCTACCCGGCCTGAGGGAGGAACCGGGGAGGGGTGTCGAGGGAGGGGTGTCGAGGGAGGGGTGACGCGGAGTCCCACCTGGATGTGGATGAGGAACTTTGAGCACGTCTGCGCTTGGCCGACGACCACGCTCTTCTGCAGGTGCCTTTCGTTGTTCTCCTTGAACACCCCCCGGGAGGTCACTCTGGACGAATACAGGTCCGCGTCGATGGTGATGTTACAGAGAATGGCTGGGGTGGGAACGACAGAGACGTTAGTACGCACGGCACGGAGCGACGAGCAGTCCTGTCTCACTGTGTCTCGCGGGGTGGAGTCTCTGGCTTTGAGGAAACATAAAAACGGGGTTGACACGGAAGAACTGTGAGCCGTGGGTAACTCTGGCATTGTGATTCCGGCTCTGGTACGATGCCCGTGACTGTGTGGGGAGGGAGAGGAGAGCACCCTGCCGTGAGGACACCTTTGGTTTCCAAACATCGCTCACGGCCGGCTGGTACGCAGAGGAACGGAACCGTCCCCGAGTGCCCACAGCGGAGCGCGTGCTTAGACGGCACCTTACCCAAGCTGTACGATCCAACCGGAAAGGGGACCTTACTGTCCTATTTTCCAGACGATGAAGGTGAACTAATTCCCTTCGTTCACACGGCCAGGGCGTGATCGGGCGTGAAGTTCGGGTAACACTGGACCAGAGTCCGTGTTCCGGCTGTGTGTCCCTGCAGGCGGGAGGGTGAACCGCTCTCGGAGGGTCAGCTGAGATACTCTAAGGGAACCGGTGCCCGCACAGTCCAAGTGCCTCGTGGGGAATGGCGCGCAACACGGCAGGAGTATGACTTTAATCAGACGGACGTGGTCCGAACCCTGATTCCGCTCTTTATAGCTAAATGACGTTAGCAACTTGGGAAGCCTCTTTGAACCCCCGTGTCCTCATCTATAGCACAGAGATAATAGTCCACCCAGGGAAAAGTAAATGGAAATCCAGTGTGGCAAACACGGTGTCAGTGGCCGACGTCCAAACTATCAGAACCTTCAACTGAGCTCCGCTGACCGCGTGTCCCAGACCCAGAGAGATCTGACCCTGTTCACAGCGTCAGCGGCCTTGTCCCGGCTCCCTCGCTGCTTCCTCCACTTTCTGTATTTCAGAGGTTGAACAGACTTCCCAAATCGTTACACGTGTTACCTTTAGAGTAGCTGTTAGAGATACTGTGCAATTCTTCTTGCTCCAATGACTTATGGAGGCGAACACGATAAAATGGTAAGAGACTCAAATGAGCCGCAAGTGAGTGGTAACAACCAGGCGGCGGGAGGATAAAGACGGTGCTGGCTGTGGCCGGGACAAAGCTCGCAAGACCAGGCGGTTTTACGGTTTCCAAGCAGCCTGGTAACATGGTACGTGGTCTCATGGGCCAGGTGGTAATGTGTGTGTGATCAACCTTGACCCCGGGGTGTGCACCTAACAGAACTTCATCTTTATACATTCACACAAGAATGAGAGTCGTGTCTTGTGTACTGTTGCTGTCTGTGCCCCTGAAAGCATCAAGGAAAAGGGAAAGGTACCCCAAAATAGCAAGAAAGCGCCCAGCCGGTGTGGCTCAGTGGTTGAGCATCGACCCTGCACTAAAAGGTTGTCGGTTCGATTCCTGGTCAGGGCACATGCCCAGGTTGTGGGCTCGATCCCCAGTGGGGGGCATACAGGAGGCAGCCAATCGATGTTCCCTCTCATTGATGTTTCTCTCTCTCTCTCCCTCTCCCTTCCTCTCACTAAAATCAATAAAGAAAAAAAATTTTTAGCAAGAAAGCCAGAGACTCTAGATGGAGGGGGAAGGAAAGGAGGTTTTCTGAAGGCAGGACCCTCTTCCGAGTGGGGTGGCCGGAGGGGTAGGCTCATCATAGGGCAGGGGACACAGGAGAGGACACCATGCTCCTGGCCAGGAGGGGTGACCAGCCAGCCACCTCTGCCAACTCGTACATTTCCCAGATCAGTCTTTGAGACAGACTTGTCTCCAGCTTGCGGAGCTGCCGCTGGTGTGTGACCTTGTAGAGGTGCAAGGTGTCCAGTGCAGTGATTTATAGACTTGTGTGTTGCACACTGACCACCATGGGTCAGCTAACACATCCGTCACCTCCCCGTGACAACCTTTTAGTTGTGAGAATTTTTTTAAATTGAGTCCTTTGGCCAAGTTCACGTGTACGACAGCTACGGTGCTGAGGACGGTCAGCTCGCTGCCCAGGTCCCACCTGGTTTGGACTCGCTGTCACCGTGACGCGGATGCCGAGCTACCAGGCGGCCAGAGGCGCTGCGCGGAGCCGGGCCGCGCCCAGTACCCGAAGGACCCCGCCCACGTGGCGAGTGGGAAGCGGAAAGGGGCGAGGAGCGGATCGGACGTCCGCTTTGTGCTCATACCCTGCTGTGGCTTGGCGTGAATCGTGACAAACACACACTCTCTGTCTGCATCTACACTCTTGTACGTTTACTTGTTTGCACCCAGTGAAGTCCCTGGAGGAACCACTGGTCTCTGAAGTTTAGAGCCGGAAACTGTCGGAGGGGGAACAGGACCCGTGAACCGGCCGCCAAGGGAGGAGGCCACTGAACCGAGTGCGCATCACTGCGGGGTGGCGGGCGGAGGCTCGGCCGCAGGTGGGATGAGGGGAGCCGGGGTGGGTAGGGGACCCGAGAGAGGGTGGACCTCAGCCCAGCCCGAAAGGTGACTCAGCCGGTCCCAGAGAGACACGGTGGCCATTCCTGCTGACAGGTGCCCGAGGTTCTCCGCACTGTCTCCTGCCGGCAGAGCACACCCCAGACCTGTGCTGGCCTCTCGCATCATTGAGGAAACTGAAATCACGGGCACAGGTGCTCGATTCTCTGGCATCCCTGTCGTCGCTGCACGCTCACTAATTCCTTGCGGACGGGAGTGACGTTGCTTCCCGCACGGAGCAGCTGCCCCTGGACAGGCCTGGCCGCACACCGATGGGTGCACATGGCGCGGCCTGTGTCTGGAGCCCAGGGAGAGGCAGGGGCGAGGGGCAGGGGGGGCGGCAGGGGGAGAGCCTGGGTCACAGAGAGCACAGCTCTGAGCCTCTCAGTGTCTCCTGGAGACCCAGGCTAAGCCGCCTGCCTAGCGACCCCTCCCAGCGCCTTGCTGCGGCGGCTTGAATGTCCGCCAGTCAAAGCCCGCTTTCTCGCGTCTGCAAACTGCAAGCGTGTGTTCGACGCAGGACGGCAGGCCCGTGGGCAAGCCGATCCGTCCGGATGACCTCGGCCCTACTCACCCACTTGGCTGCTCTGCTTTGGGGGCCGGAACTGCGCGCGGAAGCAGAGCTGCACCTGGAGCTCAGCGTTCTTCTGGAGCAGAGTGATCGTTTCCGGGGTGAACGAGGCGTCCACAGACACGTCAGCGATACTCTGCGACCTGCAAGACACATGGAACGGCTCAGGGACACGCCGCTGAGCGCCCGGGACCGGTGCCAGCGTGACCCCGCTGTTCTCTCTGCCTGTGAAAGCCCCGTGGCCTCTTTCAGGTCAGAAAGCTCCGGGGTGGTGGCAGGGACGGCATTTGGGACGGTCGCCCGCACAATCCACCTCCAATGCTTGATGCCGAATGAAGACGTGAGCACAGGCTGTGGTCTGCGACCTCTCTGCAAGGGAGGTGCACAGTCACGGTCCCTGTGGTGCGCACAGTCACGGTCCCTGTGGTGCGCACAGTCATGCTGTGCACAGTCACGGTCCCTGTGGTGCGCACAGTCACGGTCCCTGTGGTGCACACAGTCACGGTCCCTGCGGTGCGCATAGTCATGCTGCACACAGTCACGGTCCCTGCGGTGCGCACAGTCATGCTGCACACAGTCACGCTCCCTGTGGTGTGCACAGTCATGCTCCCTGTGGTGTGCACAGTCATGGTCCCTGTGGTGCGCACAGTCATGGTCCCTGTGGTGCGCACAGTCATGCTCCCTGTGGTGCGCACAGTCATGGTTCCCTGTGGTGCGCACAGTCATGGTCCCCGTGGTGCGCACAGTCATGCTCCCTGTGGTGTGCACAGTCACAGTCCCTGTGGTGTGCACAGTCACGGTCCCTGTGGTGCGCACAGTCATGCTCCCTGTGGTGCGCACAGTCACGGTTCCCTGTGGTGCGCACAGTCACGGTCCCTGTGGTGCGCACAGTCACGGTCCCTGTGGTGCGCACAGTCACGGTCCCTGTGGTGCGCACAGTCACGCTCCCTGTGGTGCGCACAGTCACGGTCCCTGTGGTGCGCACAGTCACGCTCCCTGTGGTGCGCACAGTCACGGTCCCTGTGGTGCGCACAGTCACGGTCCCTGTGGTGCGCACAGTCACGGTCCCTGTGGTGCGCACAGTCATGCTCCCTGTGGTGCGCACAGTCACGGTCCCTGTGGTGCGCACAGTCACGGTCCCTGTGGTGCGCACAGTCACGGTCCCTGTGGTGCGCACAGTCACGGTCCCTGTGGTGCGCACAGTCATGCTCCCTGTGGTGCGCACAGTCATGCTCCCTGTGGTGCGCACAGTCATGGTTCCCTGTGGTGCGCACAGTCACGGTCCCTGTGGTGCGCACAGTCATGCTCTCCGTGGTGCGCACAGTCATGGTCCCTGTGGTGCGCACAGTCATGCTCTCCGTGGTGCGCACAGTCATGGTCCCTGTGGTGCGCACAGTCATGCTCTCCGTGGTGTGCACAGTCATGGTTCCCGTGGTGTACACAGTCAGGGTCCCTGTCGCACTTCGCATGCTGGACGCGAAGTGCATCATTCTTCTCCCTAAGCCAGGGAGACAGGCTGGGGAGGTGGGGTGGCAGAGCTGCGGTGTGTGCTTCTGGCCATGTCCTGTTGCCTCAGTGACATGTGACCATCATGCTGGCCATCGGCCTGATGCCAGGAAGCGGTGGCGGAGGCCAGCGCGGGCAGGGCGGGCAGACCCTGACTGGCCCACGTGGCCTCATTGCTTCTACAACAGCCCCGTGACGTGGTAGGACAACACCACCTCCATGCATCAGTGGAAAGGCCTGAGGTGTTCGGGAACTTCCCTCAGTCCTTGGCCAGTGGGATCTGGCCTTGACCATGCCCCCTGGGCACCCCTGACCACGTACAAAGCAGCAAGTAGAAACCAAGCATTTCTCTGTCCTTGAAAGTTCTACAGCAAGACACAGGAAGCGCTTTCTTTTCATCTCAGGACTCCAGTCCATCGAGAGATTATTTCGATAATGAATCGGGTACCTCTCAGGCCCCCCGATGAGCCGTCACAGAAGATCTCGGAACAAACGAGCGTGGCCACAAACTGACAAGGTCTGCAAGGAGAGCCTCGGAGAAGGTCTTCCTGGAGGCAGCCTCTCTGAGCCGCTGAGCACGTAGCCCAGTAGAGAGGGCACTGATTTAACTGTTTTCAAAGATGTTCTTGAAAGGTAATTCTCGGGAAGTCACCCAGAAAAGCCAGTCTAGGCACCTCAAGGGAATGCCATCACAAAATGGCACTAACCTAGCTTGGCTGAACGTCAGCCATTGATTTCATGTGTCTTGACTGTTTTGATGACTCAAGTTCACCTTTCAAGGAGAGAGTTTGGCCGTCACTGACTATATTAAAGACAGCATCACAGCTAAGCTGGAGTGTAGCTCTCCAAGGATGATGCCCACCAAGATGGGCACTGGGTGGGGTTCACCGAAGGGATAACTGCTTATTGTTTAAAAACCAGTTCTGTGAGTATGAGCTCACTCCTTGTATTATCCCACTGGGATGCTGTCTTAACAGATTTTAACTTATTTTATTCAGTAAATATGTTTTCGTATTTTACCGTCTTAAATAGGATCCTTGAGTTTTATTTTTCCACCTAAAGATTCCACTACAACAGTGCATTTCATTATTCAAAAGCACAAGAGAGATACTGTAAATAGTGTCATGAGGCTCAGAAACCACACGACATCCATGTGCAGCTTCCTTGTGCTCGATGGACTTGGACGTCGGAGGCACGTTTTTCCACAGACGGCAGGGAATGAAAGGCTGGACTGTGTTTTGCTGGGGACCCTCGATCCAATTCTCGCTTTCTTTCTGACCCCATTCCCTCACAGCCCCTTATACTTATTTCTGTTCTTGAACCACATGGCCCTTGAATCCCATATTGTTCCCTGCTCTTCATCGGCTGCCGGGTTCAGGGGCAGGTCACTGAACTACACAGTGGCTTCTTGTTTATGACGAGCGACTGGAGAAGGTGCCCCTTTACCACTGCGCTTGTGCGGTCAGAGTGCTCAGGACGCTCAGGGCATCGGCTTGACGCTCCTTCCTGCCCGCTGAGCTAAGGCTGCTGGGAAGATAACCCCCAGAGTACCCTGGACAGCATGTCCAGGCCGTGTCCTTCCATGAATTCTGCTCAGAGGAGAGACACGGGAATCTCATATGAAGCAGATCTTTCCTTCCCCCACCAGGAAAACAAGTTCTTTCCTGGAGGCAAACCACAGCACATCAGGTCCTAGAGCCTTAGGTATGCAAGTGGCCCTCCCCCGGCCCAGCACGGTGTTCCAGACAACACGCGTGGCCCTCCCCGGTGTTCCAGACAACACGCGTGGCCCTCCCCCGGCCCAGCACGGTGTTCCAGACAACACGCGTGGCCCTCCCCGGTGTTCCAGACAGCATGCGTGGCCCTCCCCCGGGCCCAGCACGGTGATCCAGACAGCACGCGTGGCCCTCCCCCGGCCCAGCACGGTGTTCCAGACAACACGCGTGGCCCAGCACGGTGTTCCAGACAGCACGCGTGGCCCTCCCCCGGGCCCAGCACGGTGTTCCAGACAACACGTGTGGCCCTCCCCCGGGCCGAGCACGGTGTTCCAGACAACACGCGTGGCCCTCCCCCGGCCCAGCACGGTGATCCAGACAACACGCGTGGCCCTCCCCTGGCCCAGCACGGTGTTCCAGACAACACGCGTGGCCCTCCCCAGGCCCAGCACGGTGTTCCAGACAACACGCGTGGCCCTCCCCCGGGCCCAGCACGGTGTTCCAGACAACACGCGTGGCCCTCCCCAGGGCCCAGCACGGTGTTCCAGACAACACGCGTGGCCCTCCCCCGGGCCCAGCACGGTGTTCCAGACAACACGCGTGGCCCTCCCCCGGCCCAGCACGGTGTTCCAGACAACACGCGTGGCCCTCCCCGGGCCCAGCACGGTGTTCCAGACAACACGCGTGGCCCTCCCCCGGGCCCAGCACGGTGTTCCAGACAACACGCGTGGCCCTCCCCCGGCCCAGCACGGCCACCTGTTCTGTGCAGGTGTTTCTCAGCTGCTCTGTCCGGCTCGCTGACTCACCAGAGCTGAACCACTTGTCCGAAGGCGCCAACGGACACGTCGGTGATGGAATCCCCGTTCAAGTCTCCGTAGCCGTCCAAGGACCTGCCAAAGTACTGGAGACGGCTCCGGAAGGCTCCATCGGATCCCAGGATTTTCTGAAAGGACACGTTTGACATGAGCTGATAGGGCCCAACAACTGGCACAGAGCGGAAGGCAGCGCTACGTGGAACCGTGAGAGTGTCTTCGCAGCCCCGCCCGGTTGCCTGCAAACGCCTTTGCCTTTCGATGTCCTCTCCTCTGGTCATTTTCTCCCTCTGGCAGCGTAAAACCACCGACCAGCGGTGACGGGTCAGTGGCCTGGGAAGGACCCGATTCAAATCCTACCTCACTTTCCACGTCTCTACCCAAAGCTGCCTCCTTGGTCCCCCTACCTGACACCTCCTGTCCCTGAAAACGTGTTCCCTAGCTCATTAAAACAATTCCTTATCACTTACCACTGGCGGGAACACTCTGTCTTATTTATCTTACATTTCCTCTGTCCCCTCCAGAAGAAATAAGATCCACGAGGAGCAGAAATGTGTCTGTCCTGTTCTTTGTGACATCCCCAAAGTCTAGGACAGTCCTTGACACACAGAGGCAACTCGCTAGATATTTACTGAGCAAATCAAGTTATGAGAAGGGAGGAGCGGATGGTCCCCACGATCCTCTCTCGTCCTGACGTGACGGTGCCCGCATCACCTTGAAATTCGCGGGTTACCTGGGAATACTTGGTGCGAACGGTGTCCTTGTGGCCGTTGTAGATGTACACGGCTCCCGAGTTCTGGTGTTCCAACGGGGACCCGACTATGACGTCATTGAAGCCATCCATGTTGATGTCTGAGACGGCAGCAATCGCTGAGCCAAACCGAGCATTTTCAACACCCTCGGGCCCTTCGAGAAATCGGTGCCAGTTCAAGATGCCCTTGAGAAAGGGGACAACGGGAGGTTCAAGCGAACCTTACAGCTTTTATAATTACAACGCACAGCAAGTAGTGACCAGACCAATGTGCAGACGGGTAAAAGTGGACAAGGCTTACACCAGAATCCAAAATTCTCCAGCTGTGATGAGAATTATAAATAAGAATTTTCATAAGTAAGGTCATAAGGATCTGCTCATCAAACACGGTGGAAGGAGGCGGTTCTCTTAGCAACACAACCTACATTAAGCCTCTGCTCTGTTGTCTTTCCCTCAATATTAAGATCTTTACTTCTAAACTATTTGATTTTAAATTTTTCTGGTGAAAATCTACTAATATTTTGAATAAAATTAAGAAACAAAATAGAGTACAATATCTTAACTTAGACCTGTACATAACAGTTATTGAACCGTGGCCCATAATGGTACAGGAAGTGAAAAGTGAGATTGTTACAATCCCATTGTAAGAAACACTAACTGCCCTGGGCGGTTAGAGCGTCGGCCTGCAGACCGGAGAGTCCCAGGTTCGGTTCCCGCTACGGGCACGTGACTTGGTTGCAGTCTGTCCCCGGCCCTGGTTGGGGCCCTGTGGGTGGCAGCCACTCGATGTGTCTCTCTCACATCAATGTTTCTCTCTCTCTTCCTCCCTCTCTCCCTCCTGCTCTATCTGAAGATAGATGCAAAAATGACCTCGGGTGAGGACAAAAATAAAAATTAAAAATAAAATTGAAAAAATTTAAGAAAAAAAAACAAAAAAAGAAAAGAAGTACTAACTGGTTCCACCCAAAGGGAAGACATTGCCTTGTAAAGATGCAGCTGACTTCAGATTCTGGAATCAATGGGACCAGTCCATGGTTTCACGGGAAAGTGGAGCTCAGCCAGGAAGCCTGGGCGGTGCTAATCCTTTGTCCGCCACAATAACCTGGAAATCAGCGTGCTACCACGTTTGATAGAGTATCGGCAGACCTCCTCATCCTCAGCCATCAGGGATCATTCAGAAAGCTGACAGCCAAGAACCATTTACTAAACCCGGATGCCCACTTACCGTTCTTTATTCGCTTCAGAATTGCTTTAATGGCTTCTGTTCAAGGGCTAAGTCCCCATTGATTTAAATAAATCAGGGAGGACACACTATCACAATGGCTAAACGTCACATTTACTAGGCTAATATCATCTTCCCTTTTCCATCCCTACCCCTCGACGTTCTGTCTATATCACTGTATTTCTCTGCACGGATTTAGAGAGTTCAGTCTACCGGTTGGAAAACTGTTTTTTCCGTGTTACAGTTTGCTAAGTTTTACGTGCAAGGACTAGAAAGTCCAAGAGCTGGATATACACCTAAATGTTACACTGAGCACTGGAATTTCCTGAGAGCTAATGTCGAAAGCATCCGGGTTCTATGTGGGTTTCCAAAGGGCCTGGTACGACTTGTCCATTTCACTGTAGAAAGTTAATAAGACAGTTTTGAGCTGCTATTGTTACCTCTGTACAGCAAAGAAGAAGAACTGGATGAGATACTTGGGAAGAAGACAGATGCTAGTGTGTGTGCACATGCGTGTATCTAAAAACTGATGTGCACTTAGGACGACTTCCTTTGTACAAGAGAAGGTGTATTTGAAGACCTCACGGACCATGTCAGCGCACTACACGTTACAGTCTAGTTTTATGCCCTAGGGTGACGTGATTTTAAAAGTTATAACTGGATGGTGACATCCTCAAAATGATGAACTATAAACCACACTATCCATGAAAATCATCATTCAATAATAATAGAAGAAATGCAATCAAATGCAGAAACGCAGTTCACGTTCACCAACCACGCGGATACGCGTCAGACGGGGTCAGTGCATCAGTTACCTTGGTGATAGTGAACAGGTAGACTCTTCCTTCCTCTTTCTTCAGGTCATTCATGTACATCGGTGCACCGACCAGGAGCACGTCTGTGATGGTGTCTTTATCCACATCAACTGAACACAGCACGCTACCGAAATAGGAGCCGATCTGGGGTGACAAAGCACACTAACCTCAGGACTCCTGGGATCCAAACACCCCGAATATTACACTGAACTTTTATTCACTCATCCAACAAACTAAAAGTGAGTGCTCACTACCTGGGAAGTGCCGGGAACACAAAGTTGGATAACACAGTCTCTTCTCTCAGGTCATATCGCCAACTGATACGTGGCTCTTACACCATAGCGTGCCCCCAAATCACCAGAAAATATCTTTAAAAGTACAGATTCCTGAGACCTATTTCTAGAGATTCTGAGGCAACGCCTAGCCTGTGATCCAGAAAACAGTATTTTCATAAACTCGCCAGGTGTTTCTGATGCTGGTGGGTTAAAGACCACCCTTAGGAGGTATAGGGGTGTGTTCTAGAGACGGGGGGAGGGCAGAAGGGAGGGGGAAGAAATATTGTGCTTCCACAGGGAAGTGTATTGTACAGAGGAGGGTACCCAGTGTGTGTCAGGGTGCAGGGGTCGGGGAGGCGTAGAAAGGTTCAGTGTTATATGAATTGCATCTTAAAAGATGCTGAGGAGTCATCCACGTGGAGACGAGCAGGAAGACACGAGGGAGGAAGACCCACGGGTGACCCGGGGCAGGAGGGGTCACCGGGTAGATGGGGACGAGAGGACTAAGGGGAAATAAATTGAGGTCAGAGAGGCTGGGGACTTGAATGTTCGCCCCATTCCACCAATGTTCAATGCGGGCCTCTGCAAGTACCTCTTTTTTTGTTTTTTTGGTACATGTCCCTGGCGGGAACCGAACCCGGGACTCTCTGGTCCACAGGCCGACGCTCCAACCGCTGAGCCAAACTAGCCAGGGCATGCGAGTACTCTTAAGGACTTAGGAATGAATAAGAAATAATTCCTTCTATACACTTTCATTGTTTTTCTTTCCCCCTCAAAATAAAAGCACCCTTTTAAAAAACATTAAAGAGCAGGAGAAAGTACGTGACCAGAGGGGATCAGACTTCACCCCGGAGAAGAGGACTCTGTGGACAGTGGGTTCCCCCAACTTTAGGAAGAACAGTTCCCATAGGCTGTCAGGGATCCGTGGTCCTCAGCTCAAAGGTGGGCCCGGCCCACGGTCAGAACTGCCCAGGAGGAAACAGCAGTCTGTCCGCTGGCCTCTGCTCTGGTGGCCACGGCAGACCGTCCTGGCCGTTTCTGACCACAGAACTGTCACACGTCCGAAGAAAGTGGCAGAGAAGAGAGTTGCTTTCCTCTGACAAGGCCGACACGACAGGACGCACTCCCTCCTCATTGCTTCTCCCCCAAATCCTTGGCTCCTAGCCGGGGCTTGCCTACCAACCAGTGGTTGGGTGCCGGTCATCAAGGCTAAATAACGCCCGTGCATTGCTCATCTGGGAGTCACAAATCTGGAGCGGGAAGTGGCCAAACAGAATGACGTCGAGGCCCCCCGAGACCGGCTCTGAGAGAGCCCAGTCCCACGAGAGCCCGTGCTCTAGGAGGGTAGCCCGTCTCTCAGGAACCTGTCGAAAGGAGACCTGAGGACTGTTCGAGGACATGCCGATGACAGAGCCAGCCACGGGGCAGGCACTCAGTAAACGGTGGCCCCTTATCCCAGCTCCCCCACCCCACCTGCCCCAGCTGTCGCTGACCTGAGTTCACCTGCTAAGCGACGGACGTTACCTGGTCGCCTCTGTGAGCCTGAATGACGGTGACATTGCCGCTCTCATCAACACGGTAGAGCACAATCTGGCCAGTATAATTGGCCCGAGGAGCGCCCGCAACAAAGTGGACCCCTTTCCCGGTAGAGATGGCAGCCACGGCGTAACCTGGGAGACGGAGACAGGAGGTGTCAGGGGACGGGTCAGCCAGGCGGGCTCCGGGCTGGCGGAGGGCAGCGAGCCCCTTGTCAGGATGGCCCCAGCTCCTGTTTCTGCGACGATCGGCTCCTGTCCCGTGGCAGCGGCACTGCCCTGAGTGGTGGGCATCTACCTGCAAGGCGGACCTAGATTCTGGGTGGACCCCGTCAAGAACCTGGCCGAAGCAGTCACTCGGTGGCTTTCAAAGGTGATGTTGCGGACTGCAGAGGACGTAGGCTCTGGAGCCACCCCTGCGAGCTTGCTACATCGTCTACCTTCAGGCAAACGACTGAGCTCAGGGGCTCTCGGGGCGCAATGGGGCTCACAAGACCTCCCTCGGCAGGTTGTTGAAAGGGTTTCAACGTTCATGTGGCTACAGTGGGCAGCTCAGGGACTCCCCCAAGTACGTTTTCTCAATCGGTGGCTGCTTAGTATAGGAAAACAAGACTAAGAACTCGACGTTTACGTGACTGTTAGCCCTGGCCAGTGGTTAGGGCTCCAGCCATGGACCAAAGGACTGAAGGTTCGATTCCCAGTCAAGGGCATGTACCTGGGGTGCAGGGTTGATCCCCCTCGTGAGAGGCAACCAATCGATGTGTCTCTCTCACATCGATATTTCTGTCTCCCTCCCTCCCTTCCATTCTCTCTAAAAATCAGTGGGAAAATATCCCCAGGTGAGGATCAACCACAGAAAAATACTGCCGCTGAGTCACAGGAATAACAACTCCTTGGACGGCCAGGGCAGACTGGCGTGTGCAACGCAGGGCTCATCAGGGAGTCGCACCCCTGGCTGGCACACGGGGACCCTGCAGTGTGATACATGTGAGAGGACGATGACCAGCCAGGGACCGCCGGTCCCGACCGTCAACGCGGGGCTACTTTGAGGGAAGGGACCTGAATTCGCTGAGCTCCACGCTGCATGCCTTACCCAGATACGCGCTGTGATTTCGGTCCTGCAGGGTCTGGTCGAAGGCTTGCTTGGGAAAGATCAGGTGGCCACGAGACGTCCGCTGAACCACGGTCCCGCTCCAGTCGTACGCCCCGACCGCGCCCAGCACGAGGATGTTCTACGGGACGGAAACCAAAGCAAAGCGCCTTTAAAGCATAAGGCGTCACGGCGGGCACAACGTCAAAATAAACCGCCCAGGTTTCAGGGCGCAAAACCGACACGATGAAGTACGATTATACAAATGTGTGTTGTTATCGCTCAGAACTGTTCAGACACATTCGTGCCGGAAAACAAGCCTTCCCGTGGGCTGGGCTGGCCCGGGTCTGTTTCGGATGACCCGTTACAGAGAGGGCCTTGTACGGGGCTCTGCCCAGGAGGGGCAGGTCACCACATTCAAACTGCCAGCGGAGGCACAGGTGGGCACAAGCAGGGCAGCCGGGGCCTTCCGAAAGCGTGGAGGCGGAGGGTGCCGCCTGTCTCAGGGACTCGCGGAGAAGCTCCTGGTTGCTAGGAGGCAACAGCCATTGATGCTGAACGAGGAAGGGGTTGGGGGCCGCCGGGTGGGTGCCGCTAATCCCCTCGTGGCGTGGGAGGGCCGATAAAGACCCTCTGTTTTCACCTTCCTCTTGATTGCTTCTCGCCTGTGCCTCCAGCATTTCCATCCTGTCCCTGCTGCTTGAACATGGCAGCTGCAAGGGGCACCTTCGCTGTCACAGTCGATCTAATGTGAGGCAGCTGCAACCAGACCTCAACATTCAGACCCGTGAATCCGAACGCAGGGCGGGTCAGGATGCAACTTAGTATTTTTAAAGTTTTGATCTTCGATATTAGGAAACATCAATGATACGATGTTGGATGGGAAAACACAAGCCATCACAAAACCAGCAAAGAGGGACGTGATGTTTGTGAACAAGAGAGGGTGGAATGACATCGTGACTGTCGTAAATCTGAGCAGGGCAGAGCCAGGAGCTCCGGGGGGCGCATACACCTCAGGAAAGTGTGTTCTGAACTCTCCGTGTGGGTTCATGTACATTTCCCGGCGGGAAGGCCTATCACTTTATGGGCATCTCTGACGCTGGGTGACCCAGAACCAGTTAGCGCCTTTAATACCAGAGAGAAAATCAGCTGTGTCTGCTGACCCAGCCCTCTGAGTCCACACTGTCCCCAGGGCACAGCCATGTCTCTGTCCTTGACCCCACTTCCACCCTGAGCGGTCAGAGGCGGAGGCCCTGGAGACCGTGCTTCTCAGAAGAACGAACTTCCCCGAGCAAAGAGGACGTCTCAGCTCCCGTTTTCCCTAACTCCTTCCTCTCCCCACTATCTGTCTCTGCTCTCGGAAAAGACCCCACAGCAACTCAGAATTCAGCAGCGACCGTGGTGACCGGAAGCAGTGTTTTAAAACGTGTCCATTTGTTCGCTGATTCCAAGGACAGTCCCGCGGTGCCAATGCGTTGAATGAATGTGGTGCCTGTCCCCTGGACCACTCACGGGTCTTCTCGTACATGGTCACGTTCTCCCCATACTGCATCCCTGTGGACTAGGGAAGGGCGGGCACAATGAACCCTCAGGTGGACCTCAACGACTAGGACCAGGAATCAGAACCGTGGACGGCCGGACGGCTGTTTTGGGGTCTGGTGTACAAGGCGACCGCGCCTACAGGGTTTAGCGAAGGGACAGCACGGGCAGACGTTATCCGAAATACACACGTTTTCAGGAGAGTAATCTGCGCTGAATCCCACTTGGGACATTTCCATCTGGAACTTATCTCCTCCTTGAACAGTGCCTGGGAAAGGACAGTTTCAAGACTCACATCACTGCATCAATTTTAAATCAATTTTCAATCACACACACACACACTCACACCCTATTCTGATGTTCACCTAAAAATCTAGGGCTGGCAGCTTGGAGAAATGACAGGAACTATTCCGACAGACTTGGGCATCCACAGTATTTCCAAGGTGGAGTCAGACCTCATTAATCTTGATTGCTTATCAATATATTAATTGATAGGAAGTTTCTGATATCAAACGACACTCAGCATAGGGGATGGGCTAAAGGAACACGGAGGTGATAGCCTTTTTGAAAAAACAACTTGTCATTACCAGCTAAGAAACAACCTGCATTTCAGCTTTTAACTAGCGGGACCAAGCAATGCGCGCCTGTCTCAGGTGAGCGGGACATTGACCTTGGTGAAGACCGTGCTGAGAGGTACTGGGGTTGGGCTGCAGGAGCCAGGACCCAGGATGGAGCAGGAATTACACCCACCGGGAAGTTTGTCTTCGTTCCACATACACGGTGCTTCTGACCCAGTGAGCGAGTGAGACTCAGTTCGTACTCATTTCCACACATCATGGTCAGAGTGGTTGTCTCACTGTTCTTCGTGAAAACAAAGCTAAGTTCCTGCAGTGTGACTTTAATACGGGGCGGGCACACTGCGCCGAGTCGCAGGCACTGGTCCAGAAGAGGTAATCATGTACGCAGCAGCGTAGAGCTCATTTTCAATAAAGTAACGCACGTTCTCCCCGAACCCCCATACTAGCAGGTGCTACGCACAATCGTTTGCAGTCAGCTTTGAGACAGCATCACAGTGGTCCACGTCCATGCCACCGCCAAAGAACAAAATTATTGCGAGAGGTGGTCCAATGGTTTTTTATAATTTCAGAGAGCATTCGATTTGGACGACTTGAACTACTTAGGAGCACCATGGAAAGCGCAAGAAGCAACATGATGTTCTTGGGTAAGACTTTCCAGTGGAGAATTAGGGATTAAGATATGACTGAGGACTGAGGAATGAATGCATGCAATCCCTGGTTGCCAAAGTAGTACCTGCTACATAGTAGGTGCTCAATAAAATGTGCTTCTTATTGCTAATAATTACTTGGGTTAACCATCAGGAATCATGTTTGGGGTCACGTGGAACATTTTACCAACTGGGAAGTATGTTCAGTCACTACCCCCCCCCCCCACACACACACTGAGCTCTTGAACTTGGAACGTTTCTATACTGACTAGACCTTCCAAGGTAAAGTATTATAGATTGGGTAAATGCTTCCTTGAGATCTGAACGACTAACAATCTTCACTATATTTGTCTAATTTTAAAAGCATTAAAAGCATACATGTTTTTGTAAACAAATTCAAGAATTTCAGAAATTATATGACAGTGTAAAAAAGTATAACTTTTTACAATGATAAAAAGTCCAGTGCAGAAAGGAAAAACCATTTGCAGGTATAACAGGTATCACTAAATTGCCCTTAAAATGTTACGCAATTTAACAATCTTTCGGAAGTCTAGGAACTTCTCTTCTTCTCCATACTCTGCCCAAAGTGAAACATTGTTAATCTTTATCTTTTAAATACAAAGTAACATTGATTTAATTTATACTTTTAAATAATTACTGCAATTGGGAATATTTTTTTTATGTTCATTGGCCACTTGTATCTTATCTTTTAAACAATATGGCTGCGCGTTCTTTGCCTACGTTTCTTGCCGGATCGTAAGAGTTCTTTTCATACAAGGTACACAAGTTAACCCTCATGGAGCAAGTACGTGACCAAAGCAAGAATTCGGGAAAGCAGGTTTGGAAAGGAAACTGTAGAAGGGGGTTCTCTTACCTTCGATGCTGAAAATGTGCTCCCCAATAGTCCCCGCCTTCTCTAGCAGGGCAGCTTCGTCCGACACGTTGAAGAAGTATCTTTCCGTCGGAATACTGGCAATCGCTTTAATTTCTTTGATTAAATTTTTAGTATCAAGGGCATTTCTGTTTAAGTACCCAAGAACCTTGAAAAGCGAGGCAGAGAAGAAAAGGTCATTACCGCCGCGGTCCTTCATTTCCCTGCTAGCACTCTCTGGGCGATTTCTGGACAAGTCCCCCGTCCCCGCGCCCCAGGACTGAAGGTCAGCAAGCAGCAGAAGCAGAGCAAGAGCTGGGAGCCAAGAGGAAGGAGTCTTGGGAAGAGATGGTGGCAAGCAACACTTACCCACCCACTGAAAGGCAGGACAAGAACACCCACTTACTGCGATGCCAAACCTCAGGATGTTGTCGTCGTTGCACTGAGCAATCACGGATTTCAACATGGAACCGTCGTGCGACTCTCCGTCCGTCACAACCACCATGACTTTGGTGGCGCCTGGCCGTCCCCCGGCAGCTGCCGTGTAAGCGAAATCTCTGCGGCAGAGAAGACGGGAGACTCAGGACCAGAAGACGGGGTGGAGACGGGGACCTCTTCTGAGAACTAGAAGTGAAACTGCTCTGCGCGTAACCTGTAGCGACTTCGGACGTCTCTCCGTGTCACTGAGAAATACTCAAGTTCGCGCGCCTGGGAGCTGGAGAGAAAGAAGCAGGAGCCAGGCTCCTGCAGGGCAGTCGAAGTCCCTCCCAGGGGTCCCTCGGCCAGTGTTACCTGTGCCCGTGCACACGCACGCTGACGTCAGGAGCCCTTAGAATCACCTTCCGGAAAGAAGACTGAATTCAGGGCTACTAATCACCTGACCACAAGAACTCATCGTCATAGATTTTACTCATCGAATCTACATTCGCTTCTCCAATACAAAGTGTTTTTTAAAAAGTCACAAGTATACCTCGTTAAAAAAAAAAAAAAGCATTTGGAAAGGTATACAACAAAAGTTGGACGCCAAGCTCCCGTTCCAAAGGTGCTCACTGTCATCATGTGACGTGTCCCCGAAGGCAGTGTAGCGAGACCTGGCGCATGTGCCTTCACCAAGGGGGACATCGTCTAGGGTCGCTTTTCATCCCGACAGGGCTCTTCCCACGCCGGCACATGTGACAGTCTCGAGTTTTTTGGCGACTGCGTGATATTTCCATGTGTGGAGGCAACATGGTGACTTACCCCCCCCACACACAGTATTGAGCATTTAGGCCAACTTGAGTTTTGCAACTGATGCTATAATAAATGCCCCCGAGTGTGTATCTTGGCATGCTTTTGCCACACGTGTATGTGCGATAAAATAACTGGAACAAGGAATGTAGACATTTCAGATTTGGATGGGTAATGCCAAATGGACCTTCCAAACGTCCAAGTAACTTCTATCCCCGTCAGTGTGAGAGACACATGTCCCCACTCCCCTCCCTTAGCAACGAGGACTGCTAACCCTGCCGTTCGGGGCATTCTGAAATGTGACGAAGAAGTTACAGTTGCAGTTGAATATGCATTTTTTATTATAAAGAGATAATGAGCATTTTACATGTATATTAGCCATTTGTAATTCTCTACAAACTCTTGATTTTTTAATATTTGTTCATATTTTCGGTGTTCATCATTTTCTTAATGATTAATAAGATCTTTTGTTAATAAAGAAAATGATCCTTTGTCATATATTTTGTAACTAATTTCTTCAATTCATTACTCATCTTTTGAATTTTCAGGGTATTACTTCTGTCCAGAAATTTCCTATTTTGATATAATCAAATCCATTAACTTGTTTTGTGGGTCTTATATTTAACACCGTTTTTTTAAAATTTGTTTTTATTTATTCTTAATTTTTTTCTTTATTGATTTTAGAGAGAGAAGAAGGGAGAGGAAGAGAGAGAGAAACATCAATGAGAGAGAACACCGACTGGCCGCCTCCTGCATGCCCCCCACTGGGGACTGAGCCCACAACCTGGGCCTGGGCCCTGACCGGGAATCGAACCGGTGACCTCTTGGTGCAGGGTCGATGCTCAACCACGGAGCCACAGCGGCTGGGCTTGACACTGTTTTCTAAAAGGACTTCTTACCATTTGGCCCCTTTTTAAATCGCCCACGTTTTCTCGTCGTCCTGAGACACGCAGGGAGCGCCCGCTGAGGGGAGCAACAACCAGAATGCCGTGTGCGCGACACGGAGGAGCAGGCACGAGGAAATGCAGAAACAGAAATGACAGGATGTGGTGACCGGTCAGATGTGTGTTCCAAGGAGGTGCAGGAAAAATAGAAAATAAAAACCCATCGAGTTCTTGGTCTCAGAGACAAGGAAGAGGCGGGACCATGAATCAAGACCACAGAGCCGTGAGCAGGGGTGGAAAGAGAACCGGGCAGTGGCTCAGGGGGCACTGATTGTGATAAGACAGTCCACCGCCGTGGGGTGCTGTGTGCACTCGGGGAGCGTGCAGAGCTGACCACGGAGCAGGGCAGCCCCGGGGCGGGCGCCGACCCCAGGAGAGGGGGGCCGCGCCTCGGAGAAAGGGGTACAGAAAGAGGGCTCAGTGCAGGGAAGAACACCTGGCAGAGCAGTGGAGGCAGCACTGCGGGCAGAGCCGGCACAGATTCTTCCAGAAGCTTCGGTGCCGTGGCAACGGGGCAGGAAGAGCGGTGTGTCCGCATCCTGAGCAAACGTCCAGGGCAGCTAAGGGATGAGGGCGGAGGCAGGACCCCTGTGTCGATGGGGGCGGAAGGGGCCCATCTACCTGGCTGGTGGCAGCGCCACGTGTTTCCAAGAAGTGGAAGGAGAGGGCGCAGCCCCTGGCAGATGGGGGGGGGGGGGGCAGACAGGATGCAAGAGGCAGGAAGGAGGTTTAAGGGAAGGTGAGCCCTGGCCAGTTTGGCTCAGCGGTTAGAGCGTCAGACTGCGGTCCTGAGAGACCCGGGTTCGGTTCCCGCTAAGGGCACGTACCTCGGTTGCAGTTTGTCCCCGGCCCTGGTCGGTTGTGCTGGTGGCAGCCACTTGATGTGTCCCTTTCACGTCGATGTTTCTCTCTCTCTCCCTCCCTTCCTTTTTCTCCCTCCCACTCTATCTGTACAAAAAAATGGAAAAATATCCTCTGGTGAGGATAAAAAAAAAAAAATGGGAAGGTGAGCTTACTGTTCTTGTTCATTTTTCAACAGTGGGAGAGTGGTGAGCATTTTTATAAAGGTGCCTGATTAAACCAGAGCGAAGGTGGCCTGGCCGGTGTGGCTCAGTGGTTGAGCGTCGACCCTGCACCAAGAGGTCACCGGTTCGATTCCCGGTCAGGGCACATGCCCAGGTTGTGGGCCCGATCCCCAGTGGGGGGCGTGCAGGAGGCAGCTAATCAATGTGTCTCTCATCAATGTTTCTATCTCTCTCTCCCTCTCCCTCCTCTCTCTCTAAAATTCAATGCAAAATATATTTAAAAAAAAACAAAGAGCGAAGGTGAAGGTCAGTGGTGCTGGGGAAGCAGAGAAAGCGAGCTAAGAACGAGGAGAGCGGTGCACAGTTGTAAATCACACTGCCTGGACCGTAATGAGCACCACATGCCCATTCCATTCCGTTCGGACCGCGGTCAGTAACATCTAGGATTCTAAGGCCCTTCCTCATTTGCATACAGTGGCCCTTGAGCTCAGCTTGTCTGTGGCTTTTCTGTGCACTAACCCATCCCTTCAGATTGCTCTTTCCGACCGTTTCCACCAAGACCTTCCTGTTCCATTTCACCATCTTATGCAGCCTTTTTAAAAAATTGTGTAATATCTCATAAAAGGCCTAGAAATCAATGATTTGTAAACTTCCTTTCCTACTCTCTTCTCAGAGTGTTTAAGTCACAGAATGTTTGAACGTTTCTTCTTTCGTTCTTTCTGATCGAAGTGTGGGTCCCAGCTACATTACTTTTCTTTTCTTGACTGATAAGCACCTCTGTGCCACCTGCACACTGGCCGTGGGCGGGGCAGCTCACCTGGCGTACTGAATGGCTTTGAAGGTGTTGGTGAGGTCGCCGCCTTTCTGGTACGTCTGCGTGGTTGCTGTGATCATTTCAGCTTTGGTTTTGAAAGTGGTCAGGTTGAACACAACTCTTGGGCTGTTGGCATACTGAATCAACCCCACCTGCAGGAGAGCAGACGTTTGTCAACAGGTTGTCGTTCAGTGAGAAGTCACTTCCATGTGACCGATATCATAAAAATCAGAAGTGCATTTGGACTTGGACTGATTACTCACGGGCACCCTTCTCAACTTTGTGTGTGAGAACAGTCATTCTTCTTCCAGTGGGACCTCTCCTTGGTTAGAGGCGCGGAGTGTCTGACACCCTACTTACCGATGAGCAAGGTGACGTGCTATTGTGCTGTTTGGTTCCCAAGAGTAACAGCTGTAAATTGTTAAGAACTGCCCTATAATGTGTTCTTTCTTTCTTTCTCTCTTTCTTTCCTTCCTTCCTTCCTTCCTTCCTTCCTTCCTTCCTTCCTTCCTTCCTTCCTCCCTTCCTTCCTCTCTCTCTCCCCCCTCCCTCCCTCCCTCCCTTTCTTGAGAGAGGGAGAAGGACCAAAACTAACTCCCGGCTTTCAGTCTCCCCTTGAGGGCGATGGTAGTAGCTCCCATGACACAGCCCGAACTCCCCCGCGAGGAGGGACAGGTGGTGTAAGGCGATGTGTACGTCAGGGTGACAGAAAGGTCAGGTTTAGGTCATAAGAAAGGAGACTGAGTAAGCCACCTCTAGAGACGGAAACAATGCCTGGGGTACGAAGATAAGAAGAGAAAGGCTGGGGGTTCCCCAGGAGAAACTAGTCAGTGAAACAGCCTTGCTGCGGGGTTTCCACCCAGAGGAGGAGGAAACAGGCAGATCCTCATGAAAACCCCACGAGGCACCTTGATGGGGATGCTCCCCGGAACCGGGGGGGGGGGGGGCAGGCTCACTGAGCAGAATTGCCCCGTGGACGCCCACAGCGACCCCGTCAAAGTGCTGGTGGTTTCATCGCCTCTCGCATTGAGAAGCCAGGTCAGTGGATACAAAGTGGAACCATTTTGTTTCCTTTTTAATCCTCACCCAAGGACATGTTCAGTTTATCTTCAGACAGAGTGCGAGGGAGGGAGAGAGAGAGACATTGATGTGAGAGGGACACATCGACTGGTTGCCTCCCCCACGACCCCAACCAGAGCCAGGGACGAACCACAACCGAGGTGGTGCCCTTGACCGGAGTCGCCGTGACTCTTTGGTCCGCAGGCTGACTCTAACCACCAAACCAAACGGGCCAGGGCCTAACAGTGATTTACACACCGCCTAGAACAGCTGAAGGGTAAACTTCAGCCCAGAAACTGCACAGCACTCAGGGGAAAACGTCCTGCACGCCGCTCGTGCGAACACCTGGACCCTGAGCGACCGCCGCCGCGGAGCACACGCAGCGTGACCGGGGCCGGCCCTGCGGGCGGACAGCACTCAGGGGAAAACGTCCTGCACGCCGCTCGTGTGAACACCTGGACCCTGATCGACCGCCGCCACGGAGCACACGCAGCGTGACCGGGGCCGGCCCTGCGGGTTGCGGGTCCCTGCGCCGCGGCAGCCAGAGTGGTGCGGGATGGCAGAGCCCGTAAGGAAGAAAGAGGAACCCCCAGAACTTTCGGAACAAGTGCTGCTCAGTGGCCCAGAGGCTCGACGCTTCTGCGGTTCCGTTCCGGTCGCCTGTCTCCTGAAGACAGAAAAGCGAACGAAACCTCCGTAAAACCTGGAGAACCACACATCGTCGAACGACCTGTCCTGCACAAAGGAGGGCAGCCCAGCCTACGGTAAAGGACTATTCAATAAGAAACCGTGGAATTACGCTGCCTACAGACGTCAGGAGAATCTCAGAATTCAAGGGGACTTGTTGACCAGCAAGGAGCAAACAAAAGAAATTCATTATTAGCCCAAGGGGGTGGAAGGAAGGGGTACATATCGGATTTTAAAATATGTTAACAAATTCATGGCTAGAGGACGAAACGCTAAGCAGCTGCAGGGACTGGCGCGGATTACAGTTCTGTGTCCCACCGAGGCCTGTGTCGGAAGGAGAAATCCAGGCTCAAACACCAGCAGGGGCAAGTGACAGACAGGACAGCTCAGGATAGCGAGTTTCCATTTAAACTCAAGACTACCGTTAAATACAGTTAGCGTGGGGGTTTGAAAAATGCAAAAATCATATCTAACAATATTGTCTCAGAAAAAAACCTGTGAATTAATGTATTTTTGTTTGGTTGGTTTGTTTGTTTTTTGGTTAATCCTCACGGAAGAATATCTTTCCATTGATTTATAGAGAGAGTGGAAAGGGCGAAAGGGGAGAGAGAGAAACATCGATTGGTTGCCTCCTGCACAACCCCAATCGGAGCCAGCGATCACATCTGCAATCCCGGTATGTGCCCTGGACGGAGAATCGAACCCGAGACCCTCCGGTCCATGGGCGGATGCTCTAAACACTGAGCCAAACCGGCCAGGGCAATGTGTGTGCCATTGATGTCATACCTGTGTCTTCGCGGGGCCTATATCCAGGCCTTGGACAAATTTTTTCAAAAAGTTCTTCACCGCTTCCCAGGGGTAGATGCTGTTGGACTCGTCGCACACAACCACCACGTCGATGAAGGACGTGCAGGCTGCGCAGGGAGAGACGGGGAAACAGGGTTCAGGGGGCCAGCCAGGCTGGCCGCGCCCTGCCCTGAGGCGGGGAAGCGCCGGCGGGGCAGGTGGCAGGTGGCCCTCCCTGGGCGAAGGTGGCCCGGCCGCGCCCTCCACGTACCCTGCACAGCCGGCGAGAAGCTGGTGGAGAGCTGGAAGTCCGGGCTGACGGCCGAGCACACGCCCGTGGCGTAGTACTGGCTTCCACACTGCTGCGCCCACAGGGGACCACATGTCTTCAGAACCGCGGAAACAAAGAGAACGTGGAAACCGTCAGACCCTACCTCTCCGTCTGTGACTCTCAAAAATCAGTCTGTTCTTCTGCAAGAGACTAGGAAGTGTCAACCCTTGAAATCAAGGAGCCAAAAATGCCTTTGAGTGGCAGCGCGCCGGCAAATAGAAGGGAGAGGCGGGGATGCACTGCGCCCAATGGCAGGCTTCGGGAGGGGGGCCCTAGGACTGCCAGGGGCAGGTCACCCACCAAGCTAGAGAAAAGGGGTGCTTTCCTTCTGGGGACACCCAGGAGAAACATGGGTGCAAAGTTCATTTCTTGTCTTTCCATCACTTGGGTGTCAGGGGCTTCAGGTGCAAAATGAAAAGAATCATGCCTCCTATGGGTAAAGGTCGTTGTGAAGGTTAAATGGGTCTATAGGTACAAAACACGTGTAACAGGGCTGGGTGAACAGCAGGTGGTATGGAATCATTCCCCAGCATCGTGATGACTGTCCTTCTGGAACGTAGGGCTCTTCCCGTCCCCTCCATCTGGCCTACTCAGCAGAAACCATAAGCCAACAAGTCCCCAAGGGCCAGCCTGGAAACAGAAGAGTGTTCGGGTACCACACCCGGTGAGTGAGGCGGTCATGCCTTGTACGCAGGGGCAGGAGACCCAGACAGGACAGGTTTGGGTGTGAAAGTTCAGTTTCCAAACAACCGTCAGGGCTAAACCAACACAGAGGAGGCCCATGACCCGCCAGCGTTTAACTTGGCTAGAGAGGATTTCCTCTGGGACATCAGCGCCCCGTGTCCGCTTCCTGCGACCTCCGCTCAGCGGCTGGCACACGTCTTCCTGCCCACATCATGCGAGCTCCCGTTCTGCGTCTCTCCATCACCCTGTCCCAGACCCCTGCTCGGCAGGCCCCGGATGCCAAGGACTCCTGATCCAACCACGCGGGCAATGCTAAGTGTGGGAATCGTTAGATGGAAAAGGGGAAGGACGTGGGCAAGAGGAGTCTAGTCCAGGACTTGAAAACCAGCTACAGGGTCTCCTGTGACGCTGTGGACCCGTGATGAAGACAGAACAGAGAAGTGTGGACTTGCCAAAAGCAGTTGGAGGACTAAAGGGAAATCGCTTTGACCCAGTGGAGGGGTTGGTAGCCCGAAAGAGCAGGTGGCCGCTGTGGTCATTTTTCGTGCTCAGTGACCAAGGCTAGGTTTCCCTACAAAACGGGTTCCTGTGGCCAATTCGTTAGGGGGCAATCATAGTCGATGCCTTTGATAGTTTACCAAAGAGCAGGCACCAATTATGGATTCCCGGGTCCCCATCCCCAAGCTGTTTTTTTCTAATCATCTTGAAAAATAAGAGCTCATGAAGTATTCAAAAAAGTTTTAAAGCGATGGGAAACAGCACCACGAAATCGACATCAGACTGTGCCGACGGTTCCCGTGAGAGCCACAGTCCTGCTGCAAGACCAGACGCAAGGAGGTTCAGAAAGGTGGTGCTGGTCAGTCTTTTCCACGTAATTCTTAAGCGTATCTTAAACTTTTGATCTCTTGGGTACGTAAAAAAATAAATAAATAACTGGCTTTTTTCCTTTCTTCTTGTTTTCCCTCCCTCCCTCTCTGCTTCCCACATGGTTAAATTCATCTCTCAAATTCGTTTGCAATTTCATTTTACTCCCTTTAAAGGTGTAGGTTAAAAATTTGTGGAGCACATTCTGTAACCCCGAGGTCTCGATATAGTTCTCTTTCTGAGTATGTTCAACTTGAAAAACAAACACGCAGAGAAAGATGAAGGCAGCTCTACTGTAAGGACTTGGGGATGTCGGGAAGCACCCGGGCCCGGTGTAACCTTCATCAATGCAGCATATAGCATAAGCAACACCTGACTCACTCAGTGCTACAGAGTCTGTCTGGACACTGATTCTCTTGCTGAGAGCAGAAAGCCATTGCTCAAAACCGATGATATTTTTAGAAGAATCCAGTTATATTCACAGCCTGTTAGGTTAGCATGTCATGGATATGACTAATGTAAAGTTAAGTTTTCTTAGACTATTTTAACATGCTACAACTAGAATGCACCTGTGAAAGCAGTTGGAAATGTGAAATAAAATTGGGTTTTTATTTGCCTTTACACTTTGTGTGTGTGTGCGTGTGTGCAATGCTTTCAATTTGTTACACAGCCAAATCTTGTCAACAATTTCCTATGTTATTTCTTCGTTTAGTTCTAAGCTCAGAAACTCTTTCCTCGTTCAGAAAACTTCCACTTTCTTCTACCTGTATATATCAACTCTTTAATTCACTTGAAAGTATAATTAGATATACAAGTTATGAACCAATGGATTGGCCCAGACCACCTGTTAAATGAGGCATTCTCTCTCACTGACGTGTGACGTCTTTGCTCAGCATTCTAGAAAGTAAAGAGGGGACACACTAACATGAACTAAGAGGCCGAGCTTTGCCTTGACCAATATCAGGTCAGCCGAAAGTCAGAGGAAATGCGGACCCCTTTGGGAACCAGCAGCACTATCTCAAGTGTTCCCGCAGGAAGGAGACACGAGGGTGGAGTCCTGCTGTTATCATCAAAGATCCGCACCAGCCCCGAGGGCAAAACATCGTGTGCCCCTACCCCCCCTCCCCGCTCTCCCTTTTCAGAACATTCTGGGCCATGGTTCTGCTGAGTCTCTCAAGAAGCCATCCTATCAGCAGGGTGTCACAGCCTGCTGTGGACAGCCGCTTCGCGGTGGTGGAGAGCCACCCGCTTGAGTGATCACAAAGCCAGCTCTCACAGTGAAACCCCAAGACACGGGGCGAGAGGAGGGACAGCGAGACGCGCTGACCGCACACTCCTTCAGGACAGGGGGACATGGGAAGGAGACACTCACGAGAAATCCGCCGGTCCCCAGGTTCCTCGTGAGCGTCAGGCCGAGGTTCATGGTGTCTTTCATCTCGGTCACGTTGGGAACGCTGACGGAAGCTTTCAGAGGGAAAACGGTGTAAGAAGTGACGACATCTCCTCCATTCACTTAAAGTTGCTTTAAAAAAAATCCCACGCACACTGTCGTTGATTTGTAGCGTGGAATCGAGTGGCATCTACCCAGACGCTGAGGTTATGTGATCAAGTGTAGGACAGAGAGAGGCCCTCAGTGACCCCACCGCTCACTTCCGCGTGCGCGTGCGCATGTGTGTGTGTGTGTGCACGCGTGTGCAAGGCTGCAGATGATTGGCGGTGGGGTCTGGAGACGGCATAACCTACAGGCATTGAAATTAAAAAATTTTAAAGTGCTAGCCGAGCCCTGGCTGGTTTGGCTCAGCGGTTAGAGCGTCCGCCTGCGGTCCGGAGAGACCCGGGTTCGGTTCCCGCTAAGGGCATGTACCTCGGTTGCAGTTTGTCCCCGGCCCTGGTTGGTCGTGCGGGTGACAGCCACTCGATGTGTCCCTTTCACGTCAATGTTTTCCTCTCTCTCTCTCTTCCTCTCTCTCCCTCCCACTCTGTCTGTACAAAAAATGGAAAAATGTCCTCGGGTGAGGATAAAAAAAGAATAAAATAAAATAAAGTGCTGGCCGAACGAAACACATCCGAGGACACCATGTGGTCTCGGTTGGGCATCTCTGTTCTTTCCAACGTCCTGAGGACGCTCTCTAATGCTTCGTTCTGGATCAGAAAAGAAAATACCCTTCGGATGGCATCAAAGGATGCCACGCGGAGACGCCGGCTCACAGCCGGTGAGCGAACTGTGGAAGGAAGCCCCGAGTCAGTGACAGCCCCTCTGACCCCCTCTCTGCACAGAACCAGAATCCCACCCCCCGCACCATCCTGGGGTGACTGAGCTGCAGTTCTCCTTGGCGGCATCACTGGCCCATGCTCCCCACCTCCTTCCAAACCAGCATTGCCACGTTCACTTACCCCCTATGTCCGTGGGCGACAGATTTAAAACTGTCCTTTTTCTCAAGCCTCCAAAGCCACCCAGGTCCCATCACTCTCGCTGAACAACTGTCTACCGCAGGGAGGACACCTCACTTCCCAGGGTCACCGAGGCCCTCCCCAGAGCTCTCCTGCCTCGGTGTCCCAGGGGAAGGAGGCTCTTTCTAAGCCCATTCCCCAGGGACCAGTGACATTAATTCCTCTCCGCTAACTGCTCTTGGCCAACAGTGACCCCTCTTGAGCACCTCCTCCCACTCTCCCTACGTGTAGGACCGTCTCCCCTTGATCAGAACACCTCCTTAACCGTCCTACCCTGTGCACCTGTCCCCCGGTTCCCTCGCGCTCAGCCTCTGCCATGGAGGTCCGCGTGCACCCTGTCCTGTCCACGCGCGCCCGCTGCCGGCAGCCCCGTGGGGTTCGCCCTCCGGCAGGAACGTTACAGCACACGGTGGCAAGGCGTGTGGAAAAAAAAAAAATAACAGAACTTCAACGTGTACGTGTTTATTCTTCTAAATGTATTCTTTTTGTTCAGGAAGACGGTATGCCAGTACGTGTATATAATTTTAAAAAGCAAAATGCACGCATTAGCGATGAGTGTTGCAAAGTTAGAGGTGATAGGAGACATTAGGGGGATAGAATGAACTGTTTGAACGCTCACCCTTAGGGTACGTCTTTCTTAGTTCTAGAAGTTTGGTATTTATACGTATTCCGTATCTGTGGAGGGTGTGGAGGTTGCAGGTGTTTGGACGCACTGTCCAGACCACTGCCCTCCCTGTAAATGAGACCATCGCCTGTCCTCCCCTCCGGCATCTGACCCGACCGACACTCTTTCCGCGTCACTGAAATTAGGGTTACTGAGCCCCCACCATGGGCCACACGTGATGCCGGAAACCAGGGAGGCAGAGATGGACGGAAACACTCCTGCCCCCATCTCTGCGTTCCTCACTGGTTTCGAATCTCTCCTTTCCCTGGATTTCCACACCGTGTTTTCCTAATCCACACCCTCACGTCTCGGGGCCTCCGCACAGGCTCCGCTGAGTTGATGACATGAACCCATGGAGCATGTTGCACTTGCATCGGGAAAGGCTCTGTGGAAATGTGACTCATGTAGGTTTCCAGTAACTTTCAGTGTTAATAGAAAGTATCTGAGATGTGGGTCATTAAAGCAGCAATTCCAAGCAACTGCAGACCATTCCAAACCGTGACTATTTTTACTAGAACAAAATCATTCAGACACAGTGCGTCTGAGCTCAGTCTGGGGACTGACATCTCCAGACTTTGTGGTTCGTTTTGGAGAAGAGGGGGAGGTCTGGGGAGCCTCACATTCTTATAAATAATCAGTAAAATGACCCTAACTGCTGTGCAGACTGCTTCACATCTGGGGGAGATGGTCCAGGGGGCAGCACATCCCCCCCACGTCTCATTAAACCAGGTCTCCACAGGATGCTGGACATGTAGATGCCACTGGGCCAAATACAACTGAGAAAAAGAAATCAAGACCAAAGAAAAAAACCAGCTGTCTGTGTTTCTTTAAGACAGAACCGTGATTGGTTTCACTATTTTTCAGCTGCGTGTATAACAAATCAGGTTTTGTTGTTTATTTAAAAACCACGTTGCTAACGACAACTTACTTTGCAGATTGAGTTTCTCGCACGTGGCGGTGGGGAGACGGACAGGACACCTGTACACGTCCCCCATGCGGTTGTCGGGGAATCCGCTCCAGGGTGAACCGACCAGCAACCTGGAAATAGGAATTGTTTTTTTCGTTAGATATGAAACATTAGCTAAGGTTTCTTTTCTTTCTTTTTTTTTTTAATCCTCACCTGAGGACATTTTTCCATTTTTTTTTTGTACAGATAGAGTGGGAGGGAGAGAGAGGAAGAGAGAGAGAGAGAAACATCGACGTGAAAGGGACACATCGAGTGGCTGCCACCCGCACGACCAACCAGGGCCGGGGACAACCGAAGTACGTGCCCTTAGCGGAAACCGAACCCGGGTCTCTCCGTACCGCAGGCCGACGCTCTAACCGCTGAGCCAAACAGGCCAGGGCTAGCTAAGGTTTGTTAAAGAGAAAACTGACCACAAAACAGTGGGAAACATCTTGAATTTCCAAGTGTAACGCGTGGACAGTTGCTGTTTGCTCGGTTATAATGTGGCCTTCTCCCTTCCTCTGCCGACTACAGGCTTCCTGGGGCCCGCAGTCCTCGGCTTTTCCCTCGCCCCGGGAGGTCTCCGGGCAGAACTGACCAAGGGACACGGGCAAGCCTCCGCGTCAGCCACATAGGTCATTTTAAATGTCCAGTAGCTGCCTTAATAAAATAAAAAGCCGCGTGAAATTAACTTGAATCCCATACTTTATTGAGCTCAGTGTATCGAAACCAGCATGCAAGCAACCCGACGTTCTGTTTTTCCCACTGCGAGGGTGTGGAGGTCCGTGCGTGTCCACTCGGCGCGCAGCGTGGACCAGGCTCAGAGCTGGTGCCCGGCCGCCGTGCGTCACCGGGGTCCGAGTAATTCCCAAAGGGAACGGGATTACAACCGAAGCAGGAGCTCTCATATGTGGTGCCTTTTATGCCCTGAGGACTGTCATGTTATTCAGGAGCCGGTGAGCTCAGGGGCTTCATGCCGATTGTTTTTAGGAAGGGATCTTAGCACAAAAGGACACAGGATGTGGGGGTCAGAGGCTGGAGCTCACATTCTCCCTCCGGTTCCTGTCTCTTCTGCTGGAGCTTCTGGGGAGAGGCCGGGTTCCCCGCAGAACGCCTGGCCAACCTTTCTCAGCGGGGCCATGGGCAGCCGGCCCCGGGAACACTTCTCGGCCGGCAGCGCAGGGCGAGTCCGCGCGGCACCTCTACTGAGGGAGAACGTTTGATTCAACATTCGTCCTCCGTCCAAGTTGCGGAGGAGTCGATGATCTATCTGTGAAACGTGGCCCTTCCATAAGCCACGTGAGTGTTAGCTCACGATCAATCAAACAGCACGTGCCCCAGGCCGAGGGCTCCGGCGGATTAAAAAGTCTAAGGCATACTTCTGCTCACTAAATCCAGGAAAACCGTTTAAAATACGTGACAACTACAGCAATAATAATACAGGTGAGTGAAAAGACATGAATGAGTTCCCCTCGGGGACAAACATTAAAACAGTCACGGGATGGAGGTGGTGGTCAGCATTCCTAGCAGAGCAGGAACAGGAAAACCCGGATCATTTTGAGACGGTTCCTGGGTCAGTAATTCCTTTCTCCCCTTATCCAGCGTAGATAATTAGTCTCCAAGTCGTTTTTTACAGCGCGGAGGGCGAGGAATTGTGCCCTAGCACCAGGAAGCGGCTTGTTGAGCGAATGAATGAAAAATGAATCGAACGACCCAACAAATAAACGGAGGATTCTACACCGTTATTCAAAAAAAGAACTCTCTTGGTTGAGAAAAAGCTAAGTAGAATTTGGTTTTTGCTCCTAAAAAAAAAAAAACAAAAAACAAAAAACTGTTCATGAACATTTTTAATTCTGTTCTTACTGTCCAAGTTAAAGTTAAAAAAAAATAAGAGGTGAAAGAAATGCCGGGTTGAGAGGCAGCCTCCTCCGGGCGGCTCTGTGTTCCTGCGATGCAGCGAGCGCGCGTGCATTAGGCAAAGGCCGACGGGAGCCTGGAGGGAACAACGGCATGGTGGTAGGAAGAGGGCTCTGCTCGCCGCATGCTGGGCATGGCTGGTAATGCCAGCAGACCCCAGGCCAGCTGGTACGTGTGTGACGCTTTCCAAACTTGGTCTAACTTATGCGCAGAACAGGTCTGAGATGGGTTTGTGCCCATTTTCCAGGTGGAAGCACAGAGGCCGAGATGAGCAGCTTCCGCAGCCCACGCCCTAGTGACAGCCCAGGGTAACTGCCTCTGCACCGCGAGCTGGTCCCCTTGGTGTCCTCCCCTTCCTCTCCGGCCCGAGGCCTGGCCTGCGCCCAGGCTGGGAAAGCTATCGAACAGTTGGGGCGGGTTCCAGGACCATTAGGGAACTGACGCTGGAGCCCGAGGGTCCGGCCCTGCCTGCTGGGACCGGGCCCCCACTGTGTGGTGCTGGAGGGGCTGCAGACCCCAGGGCCAGGCAGGTAAGAACAGGGGGTGTTCCGAGAGGACCAGACGCTGTCATTTCCCCTCCATCCCACCGCAGCCCAAACTCCCTGAGGAGCAAATGGTAAGTCCCTCATCTGAAATGGGGCGACGTACCCCCGAGCTTCCGGTGCAAAGTCAGACCACCCTGCCGGCTTCTCATCAGCAAAGCTCACGGGCTCCCTGCTTCCTGCTGACTAAGCGTTTCCTGGACTCCGCCCCCTGGGGAGCCGGCTGACTGACAGCTCCTGGGGCACCTCCAGTGGCCATAGGTCACCAGGCTCAGAGCAGGCGAGCGCCGCAGGGCGTGCGACAAAGTGTGAACTGAATGTCCCCAGAATCCGCTCCCGGAATCCGCCCAGATCTGCTGGACTGTGCCGTTAAAACTCTTTTTTAAAAAATATTTTTTCTTTGTTGATTTTTTAGAAAGAAAGGAAGGGGGAGGGAGAAAGAGAGAAACAGGAGAGAGAGCACATCCTGGTGAGGAAAGGCCCCGACAGCACCGGACCTGCTCCCAAGACTGCGACATTCTTATTTAGGTATTTACTCCTCACTGAGGACACCTTTCCACTTTTTGTTCAGATAGAGTGGGGGGGGGAGAAACATCGACGTGAAAGGGACACATCGAGTGGCCGCCACCCACACGACTGACCAGGGCCGGGGACAAACTGCAACCTAGGCACATGCCCTTAGCGGGAACCGAACCCGGGTCTCTCTGGACCGCAGGCCGACGCTCTAACCGCTGAGCCAAACCGGCCAGGGCTGAACTGCAATATTATTAACTTCATCAGCCAGGAAGGTGAGGGCGGCTGCTATTTTTCTTTAATTGATTTTTAGAGAGAGAGAGAGGAACATCGATGCGAGAGAACATCGATCGGCTGCCTCCAGCACGCCCCCTACTGGGGATCGAGCCCACAACCCGGGCCTGTGCCCTGACTGGGAATCGAACCGAGACCTCTCAGTCCGTGGGACGACGCTCAACCACTGAGCCGCACTGGCCGGCAGAGCTGGCATGTTACCCATAAATGTTTATGTGCTCACTGCAGCAGGAGGACAGAGGTTGGGAGAGAATGTTTCGGGGTGGGGACAGGATAGTGAGTGGGGAACCCTGCGGAGTGGGGCAGAGCCTCTGCCAAGTCCCAGCAGCAGGGGGAGCACCCGTGTGCGGTCCCCACACGCCCTCGGGTACAGCGGAGCGGGACTTCTTCCAGGCCGCCGGGAACACCGCTCACCGCTCCATCACCCCGTGGCCAAGCGGTGGTTACGCCGAGTCCCAGTTCGCCTGCCCCGGTGCAACTGGAGAGGCTCCGTTGTTGGTAAACAGTACTTAGGGTGGTTTCTGAGACTCAGTCCAGGGCTGTGCTATAAATACCCCCCTTTGTCTGGCTCTCGGAACTCCAGGGCTCCTTCAACCCTGGCGAGTTTTCTAGGGATTATTGCAAGGGTGCTCACGGTGGCAGGGCAAAACATCTTCTCTCGGAGTCCACGGGCGTCTGGAGACCTCCGGGCTCACAGTTTGCACAACTGCAGAGGCACCGTTTCCCAGGGACGGGGTGCCCTGGCCCACCCCTGACTGTGCACAGTGCACCATCTGGGGGGCTGCCCATGGGGCCGAAGCTACTACGGGCCAGACTGGCCTCAAGGCACTGGGGTCCTTCAGTGAATGCGTCAGTCAAAACGTTCTGGCCTGCGGAGCTTACATTCTAGTAGGAGGAGAGACAGTACATTGAACACGTTGGTAAAAGCCTGGTGGTGGTGACCGGTGCTTTGCGGGACCACCAACGGGATGGAGTCAGGAGTGTGAGGTGCTGAATTCTTACTGGAGTGGGCAGGGCAGGCTTAGTGAGAGGTGACGTTTAAGCAAAGACTTGGGGGAGCTGAAGACGTGAACCACAGGCCCGGGAGGAAGCGGAGTCCGGGCTGTGAGCACAGTAACCGAAGGGGAAGGGGGACGAGAGGAGGCCGGGGTGATGGGACCAGGTCACACAGACGTGTGTGGGGTCGTGAGGGCTCAGCCCTCCTCTGAGTGACACGAGGAGGCCACTGCAGGGTTCTGAGCCGTCCTGCTGGGATCTGGACAACGGGCGCTGGAGGACTCCCGTGGGCGTGGCGGGCAGGGCGTGGCCAGAAGGCCCTTCTTCTCGGTATATTTTGAAGGTAGGGCCAGCAGGGTTTCCAGAGAGGTTCGCTTTTGAGTAAAAACAAAGAACTGATCGAGGACGACCGTAGGGTGTTTGGCTAAGGACCTGGGAGGAGATGAGTGGGCAGCATCGGACAAAGGAGAGACGATTGTTGGAGCCAGACCTGGAGGTAAGAGGAGTGTCCAAGGGTCTGTTTCTCTTGGGGTTAGAAGCCTGTTGCACGTAACACCCACACCGATGCGACGCATTTCAAAGTGTCTAGTATATAAACATGAATATCGTTCCTTATGTAGTTTAGTGCCAAGCCACTGACAATGCGAGGGGACGACGCGAGGGGACGGCGCGAGGGGACGACGCAAGGTGAGCTCTGCAGGGCTGCCTGCTTCCAGGTTGTAGCCTAAAAGGAGCGTAGGATGGAAGGGGTGGATTCACCTGTGAGGATTAGGCGTCTCAGGGAAGGAAGAAGTCAGCTAAACTGAGGTCATGTTTAGCTCTCAGTTGGG